AGAGATTCTATGCAGAACATTTTCTAAAGCTCCAGAATAAATAGTGGAGTCAATAAAACTCATCACGTTCGGTCTGTTTAAACGTCAATTGGTTTCCAACGATATGTGTGTATGTATACCGTTTTCACCTCATCAACTTTGTGAAATATAGTTCTGTTTTGGCCAACTTGAGAATTGATAAAAAGTGGTCCGCTTGTCCGGAATTCGGTGGCTCCATGGGGAAAGACAGATTCAGGCAATTTGGGGGAGCTCGACTTTGCGTGCAAGACATAGATCCAAAAAAAAAAATACACGGACTACGGTCCTGTGAATGATTTAGCGGAGCTGTCCTGATCAGCATGCCCGTCACTCAGGCCAATATGACCGGCGGGCAAACTCCTCCCGCCCGCTTCGGAAAAACACGAGAAAACCCTCGAAAACCGGTGACAAAAAGCCCCCCAATACAGAAAGTATATAATCTCTTCGATTCTCCACTCTCTCTTCTTTCGATTCTCTTTTTCTCGACAAGCGCACGGATAAAAAAGTGGGTCGAATTCGGGAAAGGACCACTTTGGGGGTACATTCTAGACTCACATTGGCCACTCGAGGGTGTTTATTGCCCGGGTAGGATAGCCCGTGGTTAGACCGTCCATTAACCGTTGAAGGACCGGGCCTAGCTGCGCCTGGGGGCCCCAGGGCAAATTCGATGCTCGTGAGGGGGGCACATCTTTTCTTCTAAGGGAATGCGGCACCTGACGCGATGTTCGGTGAGTCGTTTCATTTTGCCGGCTGTTTGGGGGAAGTTTTTCCCCATCCTTGTCATGGCTCCGACCGGAGACAGCGCGTGAGAAAAATCCAATATTTTGGGAATTTGAGGAAATTTCGAAGATCAGATCGAATTTTATGATACAGTGCAAGGCCTTAAAAATGCCCCTTTTTAGATGCAATTTTAAATACGGGTCCTCTCTTTGACGCAAAAGCTTTTTACATATTAGTTTTTGTTGGCTATGCGTTGAAGACTATAGCAATCACATTGGGTAATTTAAAAGGATAAAGAACACATGAAGATTATAAAAAAAGTAATTGTTCTGTGCGGGTAAAGTATTTTGAGTTATTATGGGAGTGTCATTTTTCGGGGGTGCAATGTTCTTTGTGACACTGGTGCCAATGTGTATATGTTAAAATATCCCGTCCATACCTGCTTATCCGTACTCGACTCAATCAAAACTCAATCAATTTTACGTACAGATTGGCGCTGCTCATAATAATGCACTGAACCAAAAACGAGTGAGACTTTCTAGTTCTAGTAATTCTGATTTTCATAATCGTTTCCTCTCATTATTCTGTGCTCAGATAGCTTGTCACAAACTACAGAGATGTCAAAAAGATCCTTACTTCTTATTGTGAAATGAACACTAACCTAAACAAAATACATTGTAGCTCGTAATCTTGGGAACCGCATATCTCAGCATGGAGTATTGTGGGAGGGGGGGGGGGGGGGGAGGAGGAGGGGGGGTTAAGGGGGATTGCAACCCCCCCCTGATTGCAACCCCCCCCCCCCTGTTCAGCAGCTGGCTAATGTTATGATGCAATCGTAAAAAGGGGCCAAAAATAATAAATGGAATGCTAAAATGTTCTTAATTTATTCTAAAATTGCCCGGTTACAATGTCCTCGAGAAAATTTCAAATTGTTCCGGGGCATGCCCCAGACCCCCTCCCCCAGCAAGGCACGCCTTCGGCACGCCTTCACTCGCCCCCTCCCCTTCAAATCAACCCCGCCCGCGTTTCCTGAAAGCTAAAGATCCGCCCCTGCTCAGACATTAACATAATATCTATGAATGGTTTCCATTCGCCTCCCATAAACCATACGCGTTCGTGCCCTGTTACTAGGGCCTACTGTTACGCAGTGACCAAATCCAGAACCCTCGGGCACTATCGTTCCAAAAGTAGGCCTATAAGGACGATTTTATTTGCACTAAACAGGACCAGAATCCCCACCCACGGGGCTTACAAGTGGCAGAAACCCGACATAAGGGGTAGCCATGGATGAATTCTAGCGATGTATGTCTGCAAGAAAAGGGGCGTGGCATCCGGCAAACGCTGTCGTGTATAATTTATGACTTGTCCTATACTATACTCCTATAGCCCAAAGATACTGTGATAATCTAAATAGTTATTGGTGCATAATAATATAATAATAATAATAAGCCAGAGGGGGCTTAAATTACACAATAATGATATGAAAAGGATTGGACGATGATACAAAATTACAAAAGGGCGGCTGGCCAGGTGCACAGCAATATTATTATTATGAGTAACATTTTTGTCAGGAAAATATCACATAATGGGAAAAGACACAAATGATTGCCCTTTTATTCATTGCTGGGACGGCCCGGGTACTCATCCAGCGCGTGTCGACAGCAGATCCTCGCCCCGAAAGAGGCTTCAAAAGCCCGCCTCACTTTTCCCAGCTTTCAACCGGCGGGCCTGAGAGCCATCACGCATCGGCTACAATTAATCACGATTCCCCCCTCGCATTCACCTTTCCACCCGCACTCTCTCGCCCCCTCGTGCACCGTCCTTTCCCCCTCTTTTTACCCATATAGCCAGCGGGGTAGAAGCCCTTGCTTTAAAACACGGTGCATGGAGTGCCCAACGGTAGGTATAAATCACCAGGGGGAAATTGGCAGAACTGGGTCGAACATTTTCTCCTTTTTTCTACTTCGATAGATGCTCTTCCACTTTCCCCCTGCATGCTCCGAGCGCGGGACGAGGTTGGACCGTTCAGTTTATTTTACCGTCCCGCATCGTCGTGCGTGTGCTCTATGCCATAGCTTCTTCTCTACAGCAAAACTGGGTCAATTGCGAGCGATTGGGATGGACTAGCACCGTGCTCAGTTTGTTCCCGTGTCTGAGTGTGGCACTTGAGTGCTTGGGGTTTGTTTTCATATTACGCATGCTCAGTTGCATCAGTGCAAATTCGTCATGGCGACATTCTCGGCATGCACATTTCAGACTATGTTTGCGTTTGGGGAGATAGCTTATTAGAATTTAAATGAAAAAGGAAAAAAAGGGAATATAGATCGTACAGTACAGGGTGAGTCACAAAGAAAGTGACCGAATTAGAAAAAAAACCCAATTATTTGGCTCGCTCTATTGCATAAAAATAACTTAGGGATATAGTGCATGCCAAACTGTGAACATTTCACTTAATTTGCATACTCTATTCCCAAGTTATGACTATCTTAATAAAATGATTCAGCTGTCCACAAATGATCAATTACCGTCCTACGAACGGATGAATACCCATTGTACCCCCCCCCTCATTTTCTTTGTATTTACTCAATTTAATGTCATATTTCTGGGTTAAACTTAACGAGTAATAAAGTGATGCAATTCCATCTTTTGAATAGCAATAAAATGGTCACGATCTGTTTCGATGTATCCCATTAATTTTTTTCCTTGTTTTCTTTCCTCCAAATTGTGAAGCTTTCTTGCGGTTTTGTCTATGCAGAGACCTTCATCAGTGCATGCCGCGACCTTTTATTTGGGATATTTTCATCCTTTCTGCATAATTTAGTGTTTTGCCTAATTAATTATGAGGTGATTTAAGCACTTTTTTCTTCGCGCTCACGTTCCACCTGTTGCCGGCAAACCGTACCCCCCCCCCCCCCCTCGCATCTGATATTCTATTATATCCCGATTCAATGAGTGACAATATGATTTTGAAATTGTAAGTCCAGTTTATCAACATAAAAATGCTGCCAATTTTTTTATACAGTGCGCCCTCTGTTGACACAAATTACTTACAATCCCTGGGGGTCAAAGGTTGTCCGATTTAACAACGACGTAATCGTGGTGGAAAAAGGTACCAAATTTTCACTTAAATTTGAATGTAATGCCAATTTATGTTAACTGCATAGAGTCAGTATATTAATATAAATCGATCAGTGTCGATATTGAAGTGTAATTGTGTGTTTGAAGGTAGAATGACAGATCCAATTGATTGTGTTTATTGTTGCGCTGGCAACGACGAGACTACTCGCTTCATGAATTCACACACGATCAGTGGAGTGCGAATTGCAATTGGCCTCGCTCGGCCGGCTCAGCGCTGTAATTCTGTGGAATATTTTGTACTTTTTGTAGGCCTAGTGTTTTGTACTTGTAAACGAAATTTAATGAAACTAAACTGATTGTGAATATGTGATATTTTCCATACTTATGCCTTCACACTGTCATGAGATTTGCAGCCAAACTGATAAATAGTTAGGCCGAATAAAAAAAACCTGTGTTTCTCGTCCGGGTTTTTAAAGAAGGAGGAAGAGGGGCTTTTTATTTTTTTATTTTTAATTTTTTTTCAAGATGGCCCTCATTTTAAAATTTCCTGCAACCGTTGGTGTTTCCACTGTTCAAAGACACTTTTAAAATGAAAGACAAGTTGGACAAGAGAACTGAACATATTTACAGTGTCGTTTAGAGTTGTATTGCCAGGGTTGGTTGGTATTTAATTTCCGATGAATTTGTGGACTTTTTTGGTGTTTTTTTACTGCATTTTTCAAAACTAAAAAATGAAACAAAAAATACAGGCAACCTCCAAAATGGAAGTGGGCGGGGACGAGAAACATGTTTTTTTTTACTTCGCCTAATACCAACACATTTTTATAAGCAAATATTAGAGGGTTGGAGGCCAGGGCATAATAATATTAAAGAGGGCGACTGTGAAGTTACGGGCCCTTCTTTAGTTTCGATCAAATTAGAGTCAAGGGTGTTTTTTATCATTCAAATATGACCTTGTCAACCTAAAGCAGACTTCTCTCAATTCTCATGACACCTTTTTGGTAATTTTTGGCAGGTTTTTGGGATAAAAATTAAAGATTTTCATACACGGTTTACGGTTGATGTCGTGCGATTCAGCTCGCAATGTGCGTTCACGGTACATCGCAGTCGTCTAAACTGTGCTTAAGAGTGATGAGTACAGTTGGCCTAAATTTGTTTTGCATGTTTTTTCTACACTTAAGGTCCCAATCTGAGAAGTAGTACTGCCATGAGATGAGCACTACTCTCTCTGAGGACTCTTCCCGCAGCGGGAAGAAGAAACGGAAGAAGAAGCGAGGACCGAGCATGAATCGGGTCCATCCGGAGGGGTCTAGCGGGGACCTGAGCTCCAGACAGAATGGCTACGTAGACAGGCCTGAGATGATGGACAGAACTGGCATGGGAAACAACAACAACAATGTAAGTATAAAGTAGTGGCCACATGACCACCAACGCATAGTTGAGCATAAACCCTGCATTTTGACCATTAATGATATTAAACCATGAATCAATGCTTCAAAATTAAAAGGGATGGCGATTATGAGCTGGTGAGTGTTCTCGGCAGGCGAAGTACAAAATAAACCAGTTACTCATCCTCGCCCGCTTTCTTTTAAAAAAAATTGTATTAATATATTTGCACATATTTTGCAAATTTTGTCAATATATTGTTGTTTTATTTGTTTCTAACAAAAAAGTCGCTCTGTTGAAAGATGACGGCTACTTTAGACACAGTTTTACATCAGAAAAGAGTAAAAAAATTGAAAAATCCATCCGCCACCTTGGAAAATCCGCTATCTTGGGAAAAGGGGGCAGGCCTCCTAAATTTAAAAAAAAAGAAACCCACACTAGAAAAATGGATTTTCAAAAGAATAAATTATAATTCATTCCCACAAAAATAGGTTGTAAGAGTGGGCAGCCGCTAGCGCATTATAAGTATACATTTTCTATCTGGATATTTTGTGTAACATTTTACAGGGGGAAATATCAACAGCAGCCGATGCTTTCAACGTTTTGCACAACGTCAAGAAGGGAGCTGAACGCTTCAAAGGACTGAGCTGTCGAAGGAGGGGTGCTGGAACGGACCAGAGTAAGACCCCCTCCCCACCGCAACCCATCCCGACCCCCCCCCCCTCCCCATAGCACCCCATACCCCGGCCCACCCACTACAATACCATTGAAGATTAGGCCAAAAAAAATAATAAGTCAGTCTCTGGTCAGCGCGCGCGTCGATTTTAATCATGCACGTCGATCTTTTTTTTTTCCAAAAGGTTCCGCGGTAGCTCCAACAGCGCCCTCTATTTCTGCACCTCCTCAATTTTTTTTACTAAAGAGCACCAAGGAATGGGAAATTGCACCAAGGAAAATGATCGAAAGCACCAAGGCAAATTATGGAGGACACCAATGTACATGAGGACACCAAAAAAGCAAAAGAGTACCCACCTTGTCTGTACAATCCAAGCTTGAAGGAAAAAAAAAAAAAAGCAAAAAAAAAAAAAAAAAGCCGCGTGGCCGCGTCAATTCCGGAACTTTGGTCTGACCAGAGACCGAATATTTTTTTTTTTTGGCCTTAAGGCAAAGTTTCGATTTAGGTTCTGATCAAACTACAGTGCTAACACCAATGTGGAAAATATTTTCTTTTTAAAGTATTCACCTAAAATGCCTAAAATGACAAAATGTATAGGTCTCGTTCAAATGATGTCATTTCCTACAGACCATCCACGTGCATCGGCATTTTGAGCGTCAACTTGCATAACGCGCATCGGCTGCGTCATATTTGGAACACATTTCGAGCAACAAGCGCGCCTGTTTGGAACATTTTCAACACTGCGCAATGCATGCTTGATTGCGTAAAATACCCAGTTGCAGTTCTCCTACAGAGATGGCCGTCATTGAGCAAGCCCTATTATAGTAAAATTTGTCATCTAAAATACTTCCTTAAGTTTCTGATTATGTGCACCCCTCCCCCTTGCCGTACCCAGGAACTGACAGGAGGGGTGACTGTACTGTTTGGACCGGTTCAGTTCGTCTCATCTTGAATTTTGAAAACTGGTGCAGCTTTCGACAGAAAAATTCCTCAAATTACTAGTGAAATTGGAAAATGCTTCACTCGCTAAAAAGCAGCTTTTGCATTGGCTTGCTTTCTGTATTCAAATCATGTGATCATCAATATTCATAATTGTTTGCATATTCATGATTGTCATATTCATGCACCATTTTTCCACTTTCCAATGGATGTTCTTGTAACCTATTTACCTTGTTGTTTTTCCTCATGAACAATTATTAAATAAATGCTGATAATCTTGTACATGTAAGTATTCTTTTCCCAGTTTTTTTTCTTCTGAAATCTAACCATAACTTTCACAATTAATTTGGGTGTTGGTTTGACTTGATCCAGGGTTCGACCTTAGCAGTAGCTCGCTAGCCAAATGCGAGTCAAAACAGCGGTGGGTTAGTCAAAACCATTCTCAATTAGGCCGCCTGGTCAGTAAAACTGATTGAGATAAGGTATGAAACTTTTCCGTGTAGCCGCGGATTAAAAGCCGGCCTGAGAAAAACAATAATCTGATACTGACGCGCATTCATTTTTTTTTTCATGCCCCTGTGCCGCTGAATATTGCGATGAAATCACTAAGAAAATTAAAATATTTGAAAGAAAAACAAAAAGTTCTATTGCAGACTAGTAAAAAGGCCCGCGGGCTAGTTAAGATTTGGGTTCACTAGTCCGGCTGGCTAGTGAAAAAAACAGTTAAGGGTGAACCCTGCTTGATCGATTTAAGAGTTAAGTTAAAAACTTAAAGTTTAAAATCAATCACTACATTTTTTTAAATTGGTAAATCAGTTCCACATTTCCACAGAGGTTTACATTGAGGGCAGTGGTCATTGAAAAATATGGGTTACATTGGGGGCATTGGTTCCCTACATGATGTCATAGTGATTTGACCAATGAGGCTCCAACACTAGCTCATGAATATGTATAAGGCACAGTGGTTTCTTCCATTCTTGACTTGTTCAACTTCTCGCTTTTCTAACCATCACACATTTCATTTCCATTCGTTTGTATCACCTTTCTGGAATTTTCACCACTCAAAACAGAAGGCAAGGAACCGGTTCTGGTTAAGAAAGGTAATCAACGAGAAAAAGAAAGATTGTTCTGAGCTTTTTTGTCTTTGTTCGCTCAAGTTACGTAGCTTTCTCAGACTTAAAGCAAAAAATGGTGTCGGTTACTTTGCTAATTAATATGCTGAAAGTGTTCCTTTCTTTTCTTTCTTTTTCTTCAAATTGATGGAAGTACTTTTTCAAAATGCAGCTCAGCATTCCAAACAAATGGCACATCATGATGCAACACTCAAATCAAAGAAATTGCTTTGATCAAATGTTGGTTTGATTCTGGGCTTGAATCATCGTCAGTAAATAAGAAAATATAAAAACTAAAAAAAAAAAAATTGAAAGAATTTGTAAAATTTAAGGTTGAAATGAAACGGGGACTGTAACGTACACGCCATCAGACTCCGCCCATCGACTTAGGGATCTATTCTTATAGCACCAGACAGTCTTGCTGTGATTGTTGTTATCTACATTCTTTACATAACATTTGGAATTTTTCATTAATTTTGTTTTCATAACCAAATCTGTGCACAATTCTCTTTCAGACCTTTGCTTTGCTTTTAAACGCTGCTTTCTGTTAACAACTACAACTCGCTTTAATCAAGAGAGTAAGAGAGTAAAGTTGAAAAAAATAACAGTAGAGAGTTCAGTCGGAAAAAAAAAATAATAATTTGGTGTCATATTGTTGCTCTTTGAAAATTCTGAACAACTTTATAAATTTGAAGTTCAATTGAAAGAAATAATGACTAAAAAAACCCCCATATCTTATGAATACATCTTTACAACTTTACTCTCATCTTCGGAGGTGGTTATTGAAGTCTTATTATGTTTGGGACTTCAAAGTATCTTGTTTTGAAAACATTATTTACTTCATAGCATGTGGTTCTTGGACTTTGTTTTCATGTTCATGTGTAGCTGCAATTTAAACTCCAGATGAATGAATTTGATGGTTTTTTAAATTAGAAAAAATTGCCAAAATTGTGATTCAGAATTTGAAATACAGATGGATAACCTCTGAGTTTGCTAACAGTTGCTGTTTTTGCTGATCATTTCTCGGGGGACAGGTCATGGTTTTGCCAAAAAAGGCAAAGGAATCGATGACAGTATCGTAGCGGAGCCCTTACGGCGCAACCGTTTCAACGAAGACCTCATCTCCTACTTCGCCTCCTTGGCGCGATCGGAAAACGAGGACGAGGTGGTCGACCTCGAGCACGTGGAGAATTTACTTGACAGCGGCGCGGACATCTGCTGCACGGACAAACACGGACAGACGGTGTTGCATGAGGTATACATGCGATTACTTTGTGAAGTTGCAAGTTCTTAAGTCGGCTCTGTACAGAATATTGCCCTCAAGAGATAGAAATTCAAAACTGATTGATTCCTGATTGAAACTACCATGGATGTACTGGGTACCAAAGTGGGTTTCTCAGTTTTACTTGTCAAAGTCTTTAAAAAAGTCTCCCAAGGGAAACTGACTTTGTAAACTTTTTAATCTTTACAAAGTTGGACTGTATACAAACAATATTAGTAGGCTTTCTACTGTTCCTACTTTTTCCTAGTTGTTTATACCTTGCTCCTACTTTTCCTACTTTTTTCCTTGAAAATTCCTTCTTTTCCCCTACTTTTTTGGACCCACAACTCCGAAAATTGAAATCTCATTGAATATTTTTCATAACAGTGTTACACACTGTCATATGTGAATCACACAATGAAGGGCTTGGGCGCAGGAGTACTGCAACTGTACTTCCAAGAGCTTAGTTGAGGATGGAGCGCAAGTGTTGTGAGTACAGACCAAATGAGGCTTATGATGCTGTGAGCATGGGTGAGAATATCAACTAAAACTACTCCTTAAAAGTCTTACTTTTAGCCTGATTTGTCCTTCTAAGTCCTACTTCTGTCCTGTTTTTTTTTAATGTTGATCCTACTGTTCTCCTACTTTTTCACTTGGGTCTGAGTGAAATCCCTGTTATTGGTTTTATTCCTTGTGTAATCTTTAGGCTGTACGTGCTTGGGAAACAGACGTGGCATCGTTCTTACTAGAGAAGGGAGCGAAACCGAACCAGAAGGACCGGTACGGACGAGCTCCTCTCCACATCGCCGCTGCCGTCAACTACCCGGAGATGATCCTGCTGCTCCTGGACAACGAGCATGAAAATGGTAACGGTGCACTTGTGATCAATTGAAGCGCCCTCTACTGGCCAGCCATAAATAATGGCAGGCAAAAATACAATGAGAGTTTTATGTTAGGAATCAAAAATAATCCACAAGTTTTTGTCGAAGTTGAACGCATATGCAGAAGGCAAGAAATCTACGACATCATCAAAAAGTCTGCCTTCGAACCATAGCCCAGCAATCTGCCATCTTTAACCTTTAGTTTCTGACATTTTTCCCATTGATCCCCCCCCCCCCTTTGTTTTCCTTTACCACAGCCGACATTGAAATATTAACGAACGGCGAGAACCACACGCCGATTCATTTTGCTGCTCGGAACGACGCTTGCGCCGCTCTGAAGACGCTCCAGAAAATGGGGGCCAATCTTCACGCCAGAGACTACAAAGGAAGAACAGCCCTACAAATTGCTGCTGAACTAGGTAAGAAAAGCTAGGCATGATGTTGAAACAATTCCTCAAATTGATGTATGCGCTGCTAAATCAGATTCGAACCAGCCACTTGACCCCAGCAAGCTCGGCGGTCGAGTGGTAAGACGTCTGCACTAGCAAGCAGGAGGTCGCGGGTTCAAGTCCCACCAAAGCGTGTGAATTTTTCTCAAAAGCTTGAAAATTGTTCTCACAAGAAAAGGGCAAATCCCAATAAGTTCAGAGATGCCACTTTTCAGGTTTTAACCTGAATTCAGGGTTTTTTTTCACAAAAATGTGACAAAAATTAAAAGTGCTGGATTTGGTCTGAAACATACAGAAAACTCATTTTTGAAAGGGGGTAAGGGTAGTTTCAGGGTTTTTTTTAGTAGTGTTTCAGGCTTTTTATTGATATATTGGTGGCATCTCTGAATATTAAAAGAAGTCCCTGAAGTTGCAGTTGCTAATAAGCTTCTGACAATTTTGGTTCAATTTTTTGTCTCTTGGTTTTTGAAACTTTGCTCAGATCGAAGCGAAACAGCCAGACTTCTCCTTGAGCTGGGGGCCGAAGCTTCTGACATGGATAACGCAGGGCAGACGGCACTGGTGCAGCTCATCTGCAAGATGCCTGCAGTGGTGAGTCATGGCCTCATCACATGATGGTCACATTATAAACACATGGCTATCACATGATCATCACATGACTGGCACATGGCCATCACATGGTCATCTTAAGATTGGCTCATGACCATCGTATGATCATCACATAAATGTCGCGTGGCCATCACATTTTTTCTCATAAGGCCAAAAAAAAAATAAGTCGGTCTCTGGTCAGCGCGCGCGTCGATTTTAATCATGCGCGTCGATCTTTTTTTTTTCCAAAATGTTCCGCGGTAGCTCCAACAGCGCCTTCTATTTCCGCACCTCCTAAATTTTTTTTACCAAAGAGCACCAAGGAATGGGAAATTGCACCAAGGCAAATGATCGAAAGCACCAAGGCAAATTATGGAGGACACCAATGTACATGAGGACACCAAAAAAGCAAAATAGTACCCACCTTGTCTGTACAATCCAAGCTTGAAAAAAAAAAAAAAAAAAGCAAAAAAAAAAAAAAAAGTCGCGTGGCCGCGTCAATTCCGGAACTTTGGTCTGACCAGAGACCGAAATTTTTTTTTTTTTGGCCTAACCACACTTTTTTTATTCAGCGAAATCTGGACAAACTATAGACAAGTTACATACAAATATTTCTAATGTATTAAAGCAATTTTGATGTCATTTTTCCTTTAAGGCCAAGGAGGCCCTTGATCAGTTCCATCGATGTGACCGGGCAAATCGCAAGCAGTACTACGATCATCACTTTGTGGAACCCACAAAACCGGACGATAAAACTCCAAGGTCTAGATCAGCAGTAAGTATAAAGACTGAAAGACAAGTAGAATCATTTGCATTATTCCAACAGTAACCTACCAAAATATTATCAAAAAGCTTATTGGGATTAAAGATCGTACTGGTACGCCCTGAGAAATTAGTTCGTCTGGCTTGCTGTCACTTACAAAAATCAAGAAATGTGATTTCCAACGAACTGTCATTTGACTGATGTTTGGAAATATTGACGTGTGCTATTGAGGAAATTGTGTTTTGCGTTAAGTTTTGTGCATGGTTTTTCCACTGTTTTCTCAAAAAAGTCTAACATCCACTGAGCTGAAACTGAAATGGGTTAGGTTTTGAACATTTTTCTTTGGATTTTGAGTGTGTTATTGTGGGAAACAAACAAATGCATGAAAAGCGAATAATTCTGTACGGCTTTAGCAAAATTAACACCTAAGTGACAAACACATTAAAATGAACAGTTAAATATGTAATTGACTTGACCTTTGACACAGCTTCAGGTCATAGTTCAGTTCAACCAGTTGGAGCTGATTCTTCATCCAGTGATACAGAGGCTTCTAAAGGTCAAGTGGAAGAAATTTGGACTGTAAGTACGAGAATCGTGAGCTTTTTTATTTAATAAAATACAGCATTTAGTGTATCAATATGAAATGATGCTACAATTGCATTTCTGTTAGCTCTGTGCATGAACGAATGAGGGCGGTATTTAATCTGACATTGGGGGGGGGGGGCAGGCCAGTAAATAGGCCCGAAATTGCCTACGCCGGCCAAATCACGATTCGCATGCCCTCAAATTCTCCGATGTTAGAGCAGTTTGATTGTGTTTAAAGTTAAAACAAATAAAGATTTTGAAATGACATTAATTGGTTTCTATTTTCTGTACCCAGTTGGGGTGCAATCTTTCAAGTCTTCATCAACTTGGCGTTCATAATACTCTGGTCTGTTATCGGCGTAACTCTGCGTCCGAACGAGAGAATGACATTCCCCGTCGACATTTGGAGACTCGTCATCTGGGTACGTACAAATGATTCCAGTAGTTCATGTTTTATATCCGCAATAGGAACATTGTGTTGGTTTCAGTGGCGACACTTTGAACAGGTTCTTGAAATAAAGTTGCGCCGATAACATCATTGCGGGAAGATTCCGAAAAAGTTGTTCCTTATCTTGAAACAAAAACCCGATAAAACGGTCAAAACAACTGTCTAAACATCACAACGAAACATCTCTCTGTTTTACTGCACGATTACAGTATGAAACTGTCAGCACAGCAAGGTTAAAAAAAAAATTATTATTATTTATTTATGTATTCATTTCTATTTTTGGACAGGGATTGGCTCTGTTGATCACAGGTTTCATGATCGCCCAGGAACTACAAGAAATCTTCGTATCCAAGAAAAAATTCAGAGTGAGATATTCAGAATGTTTCCATATCCCTTGTTTCTATCTGACCCCTTGGGATGTAAAGTAATGACGTTTTATCGGTACTTTTGTTGGTCGGTACATCCAAATTATTTGCAGGTTTTTTAGCTGCAAATGTAGAAAAGTTCAACACATTTTAGTGCAGCAAATTTTATTGTGGAAGTGTCTTTTTAAGTTCGCTTCATAGTCATGTTGGTGCTTAATTAGTCCCTGTACTGCCCCCACCCGCCCTGCCTGTCACGCCAGACACTGCCCAAGCCGTGACTCTGTGGTTTGAATGATTCACCAGTAAATAAATACATTGTAATACAATGTACTACATTGTAATACAATGTAGCTACATTGTAATACAATGTAGCACAGTGTAATACAATATTATTATAGGTGTTGATGGGTGAAGGTGGCCATTTTCAGAATAGAGCATCTCGCCAAGCAACATCTCACTTCTGATGTGAGCGTCTTGGTACCGAACACTAACTAGTCTAGTCACAGAATCCCGTGTTCGAATTAACCAGCTTGTTATCTGCGTGATCGATTGAACGGAAGTTGAGGGTCAACAATTTCAACTTTTTTAGTAATCATCAATTTGCTATATTTTCAATATGTTGTAAATTGTAATGCTTTTTTCCCCTGAAGAATCCATTTATTGCCCCTGAGTGGATGGGCCCAGTCAGGACTCAAAATCAATGCAAAAAAACTGTACGTTACACACGTAGATCCTGTACGTGGTGCTCGGATGTGCCGTATTCTCATAAAATCTCACAGGTTTTTGAGGTCAGCTTAACACGCTTTATTGTTTTCTGTCTTCAGAGATGGAAACAGTGGCGCATTGGTGAGATAGAGAAGGACCTCAAGTATTGTCATCCTCAGTGGCCACAGGAGGAGCAGTACCTCCAGCAGGAGATCAAGGAGATCAACGACCAAGGAGCGGCCTACTTCAGCGAATTCTGGTGAGTCTCTACTCTGACTCTAATCCAACGACTTCTATAAGCCGCAATCCTCTCTGAGTGATCCCCGTTTGCTATTTCCCGGGTTTGCAGCTTTGCTAATGTCGCTAGTATCATGACGATTGGATGGGTCGGGTCAGCTTCCTGTTCCCCAATTGTTGCAAATAGGGAACAGAACAAATATTGTGGGGAAAAAATATTGGTTTAGTCTATCGAAGTGAATTAGAATGTGAAGAGCAATTAAAAAAACAAAATGCTTTGAAACAAACAATTACGGTAGATTAAAACGTAAACGGGAAAAATGCGGAAAGTAAATGTGAACCTTTTAACATCTTAAGACTGCAACCACTCTTAACTGGTCCAGTGTTCAAGACTGTCCAGTTTAGCAGGGGATAATTAAATTATTTTGCAGGATTTCAGGGAGTTTAATCCAGCACGAATAGTTAATGTTATATAATGCTTGCATTTCTTATGTCGATTTCACTTGAAATAACCCTTGCATTTCTTTTGCAATTTAAAGAAAAAGGAAAATTTACTCTGCTGTGATTGGATGAAACTGAGTTATTTACACGTTTATTCTGCCCTGTGATTGGTCCATTTCGAATCTTTTCCCACAGGAACTATTTTGATTGGATAGTCTACTGTCTTCTCTTGGTCATCACCGGTCTGGTCGTGGCGAGCCACGTCATCACCGATGACGCTAAGCACGAGAATCTCATTGCCTTCACGCGGCGCTTCATGGCGGTCTCCATCATTCCGATCTGGCTGCGATTCATGAAATCGGCCCGGGCATTCAAACAAATCGGTGAGAGGATATTCATCAATATTCGTTTTTTTGCCAATCACAAGCCACATCCATAAACACTGTATACTCGGTATTGTCCATGGGCTTGCCAGACAAAATTCACAATCTTACTTGGGTGAGATTCGAACCCACGACCTCCTGCTTACTAGTGCAGATGTCTTACCACTCGACCACCAAGCTTGCCGGGGTCAGCATTATTTATCTATGCTTACCCCACTTTTTGAAGTTTGGAAGTTGGAGAGTTGTGAAGAATACAGTCCACACATTGAGCATAGAATAGCTTAACCAACCAATACATTTTTGTATGTTAATTGTCGTATTTTCAGGACCATTTATCGTGATGTTGGGCCACATCGTGAATGACATTCTGAAATTTGGTTTTCTGTACCTGGAGTTCTACATACCATATGGTTAGTATTGCTTGTGGATTTATATGCCTTTTATCTGTCCTTCAGTTATACATTGTCTAAGGGGGCGCTGTTTGACATATGACAGCAAGTTAATTAATGGGAAAATTAACCTCCGATATTGTCACTGAGGGGATGTGGCCTGATGAAGTTGGTGTGTGGCCCAGTGGTAGGGGTTTGTAACTCATGATCAGAGGGTCAGGGGTCCAAATCTGGCTGCTTGCCATATGTTGTCTTATGTCCTTGGGCAAGCCACTTTACCCCAAGTATACTCTCTCTATATATACTTACTATTTTTTATATACTCTGTGTACTGTACCCAATCTATGCTCCCCCCCAGGCATATAGATGGGTACCGGCATTAGCTGTAGAGTACCATGCGATGGACTGGCATCCCATCCAGGGGAACAAAAATTGATTCCCAGTCATTCCATGCTAAGGAAACTGGAGATAAACATTGGCCTGGTATGAGACACATTCAATTGAGACAGGTGGAGTGTCATGGCCTAGCGGTTAAGAGCACTGGACTCATGCTCTGGTGTTTCAGAGGCAACACTGTCGTGGGTTCGAGCCCAGGCCCGGACACTTGTGCCCTTGAGCAAGGCACTTAACCATTATTGCTTTGTCCTTCGGATGGGACATTAAGCCAGAGGTCCCGTGTGTTGTATAAGGCCTAACGCACGTAAAAGAACCCAGTAACACTTATCGCTAAGAGTAGGGGTTTGCCCCGGTGTTTCTGGCCTCCTAGTTATACTCCCTTGTGGAAGTCTTTAGGAGAAGAACCAACCAAGAACCAAGATATTAACTTGACATTTTCTTTGTTCCACGCAGCTTTTGCTTTCTGGATGATATTCGGAGGCAACCCTGAGCTACCGTCCATGCAGACCGTCGACAGTCTCATGTTCACCCTCTTCAGGCTCACGTTGGTAGATGACTATGATTATGATGTAAGTAAACAAAGTTTAATCCTCACTAACCTCATCTTCTAACTCCGTGGTCCGGGTTTCATTCCCACGATGGCTAACATATGGATTTAGGTATCAGTCCCTACCTCATTCTGTTGATTTTTGTTCGAATAGTTATTTTTCCTGTTTCTGAAATTGTACAATTCTTCATATGTGATGTGATCAAGCTACATGAGTCGTTTGTCGACCCTGGTCAATTTTTTTTATTGTACAGTTTTGAAAAGAGCACAATTTCAGCATTACTGATGTGAAAACCGCATGCTGATACCATCTTTATTTCAAAAATTATGGAAGTCGGAACACCAAGAGATGTGACGAAGTGATATGATGAAGTGGCCCTATTTTGGCCTGAATCTCCAAATGAAAGTTCCCGACAAACGACTCATTGAGCTTGATCGCATCACATATGTGACCCGCTCCACAAAAATGAGTCTGTTGTGGCAAAACAGAAATTTTGAGTTAACTACATTAATAAAATGGGAATGAAATAAGCTTTCATTTGGTATATCATGGGCCTCTCTAGGACATTTGGTTGCACTGTTGTGCCTTTTTTAATTCTGTCAAGTTTTTGCAAAGCAAGAAATGTCTCAATGAAGAAAAAAGGGTTTAAAAATTACAAATACACTGTAACTAACCAAGAAAAGCACCAAAAATCATAAATTTGTTAGTCTTTTTCTTACAATATTCAAATGTCTGTGTAAGATATCTGAACTAAAACTATCAAACAACCAAAATAAAACAAAAACAAAAAATCCAAATTTTGAGCAAATTTTCACTGTTTCCATTTAAAAGTGGTAAAAGCTGGAATTCCAGCTATGCGACATCAGACTCATTTTTGCAGAGCGGGTCACATATTCATATTGACGTGCCAAAAACCCTTTTGTAAGAAAAAAATGGAAAACTTTGATAAAATTGCATGATTGTCTCAAAAGGCCTCATATACTGGATAAATTTTACATCAAATTATTAAAAAAGTTCACATTTTCTTTTTTTCCCATCAGAAAATGCACGAGCTTGACACCGTCATGGCCTATATCCTGATCACCACGTTCCTGTTCCTATCTGCGTTGCTCTGCATTAATCTCTTCATCGCTCTGCTGTCGGACACATTCCAAAGGTTGGTTCAACCCGTTAGCCCTCAAAGCGCCCTCAAACGCCAGGCCATTTTCTCCTCGAACCGCCCCAAACTGCCTCAGCATCTATGGTTTTTATAGATTTATGGAAGAGTAATAACGATGTAACACAATTTCATACAAGTGCTAAAGGGTTACATTCGAAATGATAACTTAGTTACCTGAACATGATACGCAGAGATCACCATTTGGAACTTTTTTTTCACTCTGTTTTTTTAATCGATACCTCTGCTCAAAAGGGCATAACTAATATTCTAAGATTTGGAAAGCCACTCCAGTTTTTGCCAAACACTGTGAAGGCCAAATCCATAAATACTTTCTTGACAAATTTTTTTGTGCTGGCAATTAATTTGTAATCGATGTCATTGTCTTCACTGTCGATGAGAAAAGTTGAAAACATTTCTAATTGAGTTGACTTGTTTTGCAATTCCCAGAGTCTACGACAACGCCAAATCCAACGCCGCAATGCAGCAGGCGTCCATCATCCTGGGCATCGAGGAGAGTCTCTCCAAGAAGAAACTCTACAAGTATCGACGCTTCATCCACACCCAGGCCAACCCAGAGAGCTTGTACTACGATGACGACCAGACGGAGAGCGGAGAATCCGACCTGAAGAAAGTCACCTTCCAAATTAAGGTAAAGAGTGCAAGACCCAATAACGAAGCTGGTAAGCAGAAAAAAATTGCTAATCAAAATGTACGGTGCTGAGCAAGATCAGCTGAGAACCTGCCACAGGCAGTATACAATTGCATGACGTTTTGGTTGGTAACCCATCTTTGCTAAGCTTATATTTTTGCTGCTAAGCAAGAAAGCAAAAAAGTGTGACCATGCAATGGAACTTCCATTCACCGTGGAATGGCACTTCAATTTTTGCAGTGCGACCACGCCATGCATTGGGATGAATAATTCAACAATCAGTTAATGGGGAATTATTCAGGTGTTGTTTAAAAATCACTGTTTAAATTTCAAGCTGCATGTTTTTGTTTGTGGTTGCGGGAGCATTAATTGTATCTGGCATTGTTTCTTTGTGGGAAGTTACGGTAACAAATAAATGAAGTATCTGCTAAGAAAAATGATCCGAAATTACTTGAGAATGAATGTAATGAAACGGGCAACGATTCCAATGAAGAACAATGTCATGCTTTTAATTTTAGCTTTTTCAAGTCTTGCATTTTGGCTTTTGAAAGGTAGCATTGATTGAGCTGAATAAAAAAAATGCGTTAGGCCAAAAAAAAAAAAATATTCGGTCTCTGGTCAGACCGAAGTTCCGGAATTAATGCGGCGATGCGTTTTCTGGGGGGGGGGGGGGGGGTTTGGTTTTTTTTTTTTTTCAAGCTTGCATTGTACAGACAAGGTGGGTACTATTTTGCTTTTTTTGTGTCTTCATTATACAATGGTGTCCTTCATAATTTGCCTTGGTGCCCTTTATCATTTGCCTTGGTGCAATTTCCCCATTCCTTGGTGCTCCTTGGTACAAAAATTTGAGGAGGCGCGGCAATAGAGGGCGCTGTTGTAGCTTCCGTGTTAATTTGAAGAAAAAAAAAACGTTGACGCGCATGATTAAAATCGACGCGCTCGCTGACCAGAGACCGAGTATTTTTGTTTTTTGGCCTTATCACAAATTAACCTTTTCGATGGTGATGGGCATGCACTTTTTAACCTTTGACCTTTGTTCCTATAAGGATGACCTGGATGAAATGAAGGAGAGTCTGTTTGGCCATCTGAATATTGCGGGATATGGCCGAAAGAAGAGGGTAATGCTTACTAATGCTTCACACAAAACCTGCACTAACGATTGGCTGCCGTCTTTGAAATAGATCACAGGAGAAGATATAACTGGAACTGACTATATCTGGAAAAGGCTCAATTTTATGAACTACTTACAGTTGATAAAAGCTAATAATTCCTATCACAGAACTGATCCAATTGAGCAACTACTTGTAAATCCATGTTTGTCTCATTCATAGCATACTTTAATTATTTTGAGAAGTGCATTCGTTTCTGTGATTTTTGTTCTGCTTCGGCTGGTTTGCATGTTAACGCTTAAAGCGCTTTTGTTATTTGTAAGTTCGCATGAAAACAGCTCATGAAATGATCACTGTCTTGTAGACATACAAGATTACAACAATTCCTTTCTTTTTTTTATGGATGTACTAACATTTTCTCTCGATCTTTGCAGGGTGATTTTTTTCTTGCATATTTAAGTATCTTAGAAGATGCACATAACCAAGTATCTTATATCACTCAATGTAATAGAATGGAAACAAGTGACTAGCACAAAGAAAAAAGGACTGCAAACAATAATCCACAATGAAATTTAAGTTATTTTTCAACATTCAAAAAGAAGTTATTTACCAGTGAGTTTTTCCCCCAATAATTCTCTACTCCAGGATTGTAGCGGTACCAAACCATTACAATCCAGGAGTAGAGATCATCTCTCTTCTCCTATCAACCACCTAATCCCACTTCTGACACCAAATCCCACTTCTGCCACCAATCAGGATTCTCTAGAGGAACTCCGTGAGCAACTTGCTACTCACCCGCATGCTGATCAGACAAGTCAGATCCATGCTATTGACACCAACTCCATAAAGGAGGAACTGACACGGTTGCGGATCAAGCAGGAGCGGTCAAATCGTCACGTCCAGAAACAGCTGAAGACAATTAACGAGGTCCTGCAGGCACTCTTGGCTGCTAAGACAAGTGGTAAGTACCGTCTGCCAGGCTGGTATATTTTTTTTTTCAGTTGTTTTATTATTGTTATTTTCAAAATGAAAATACGGTTCACATCTTATGCTTATACCACCAGGAGGCCCTGGTCCAGGTTCAGGAAGCACACCCACTCAACTAGGGGGAGGCGTTGGAAGTTTCAACGTCAGTCGTCCAGGGTTACTGGGCACCCTTCCCAGCATCCCCTATGACGCGGGGGAGATGGTAGGGGGAGGAGTCTTTAATGAGGAGGAGGACGATTATGAGGCAGGGAGGAGGCCAAGGTTTGTTGGCAGGCATGTGCCGCTGCAGAGCACAATGACGCAGGGATCTAGACCGGCAAGTCAAAGGTAAGCTAGAGAGAGTTTTCTCAACCCCGGCTTCGTCTCCCACTTCAGGAACTTTTAGGCCCTTGACTTGGGGACTCTGGCTCAATATCGATCCACGTTCTACTTCAAGAACATCAAGTGATATTTCATTAGGTCAGAGTTAAAGCATGTTCGATTTGGACATTAAAGGCTTCCTAATGATTCTGCTGCCAGAGAAGAAGCCACCGTCAAAGTTAGAATTTGGTAAATGTTCCTTTGTCACGTTCGCTGTAATTGCTGCCTGGAAGCATGAAAGAAAGGGCATTGCAACAGTGTTCAAGGGTGCTTTATGGCCTGGGTGGCATTCGAACCTGGGACACAGAAGTGGAAGGCAAGGAAAATTCCAAAGTCAGTTCGCTTTAAAGCTCAGTGTTTATTTTATTTAACAGGCCGCGAGAGAACAGTCTGGCATCACAACGGACTTTCCTAGATTCTTTGACCCCCCAGCCTGTCCCTCAAAGTAATACCACTGAGATGGACGGAGTCGACAAGGAGAGGTACAGCTTTTATCTTCCTCACCTAATAGTATTATTTAAATTGAAATTTTGACTGGTTACCATCTAAGCAGGTATTTCCTAGTATAGCGGTCTTTTGTGATTAGAGCAGCTGCACGAAATTGGCTTCTGGTCTGAAGACGCCTTATCCCACTTCTGACACCATTTCTGATAAACCTGCCTCTCCAAGGTTGAAACTCTTTCGAGGGGAGCAGAAGAAAAAGCTGAAGCAGCGCAGGCAGCAGGAGGATTACCTTCAGCAGCAGCAGCAACAAGAGTCAAAGGTCGCCATACCCATGTCAGATGTCAGCCAAGGTCACGAAGATCACGACCTCTCAGAGCTGAGCCAGCAGATGACCAGGGAGAACGAGGACTTGGCAGACCTGGTCAAGTTCAGTCCTGCAGACAAGGTGAGAGGCTGATTGACAAAATTTTAATTTTATGTTCTGTTAAGAAAAGAAAAACTGAGTGTAAAGGACAGTGAACAATTTTTTGACACAAAGTTTAAAATTGAAAAAATTGACACACCGTGACGTGAACTTTTGATAGCATTTGGAAAAAAATCTGCACAATCTGAAAGATTTCTCGAGAAGTAAACAGCAAGAGCAAGTTTGGGTTGCATCATGTGACGAGATCTCCTGTGTGAGTTTATGTGGTTCATAAAAGACCCGATAAGGCAACTCAAAATTAATATTTCGAACAGTATCTTTGCCCATTTGTTAAACATTTCAAACCCCAAGAACACAGTTGTGCCTCAGATCCCTCATACTTTGAATACACATCCGATAGCCTGGGACACCTCCAATGCAAGATCTTTATTAAGGCATTCAAAATTTTGGAACATCTTTGGTTTTGTACTGAAAGAGCAAACAAAATTGTTTTAACAACTAAATTGTCGATATCTTAATCTCAGGATGTGGAAAAACAAGACGTGTCAGTCAGGGGAAGCACGGATGCGTGAAGATGGCGTGTGGTGAACTAAAATCCCAACTTCGGTGTTTTCCATCCTGGTGTCTGTGGGCGGAGAACAGAGTAGGGGCTAGGCTAGTCCCTGCCTACTTTGAAATCTTCTGTTATTTTATTCTGATGAAATACTTAAAAAATATTGAGGCTGTATTATAACCCAGTCGGCCATTTCGGAAGTGTATTCATTTTGCTCTTGAACGAATTGACATATTTTTATCACATCGGTGACATATTTTGATCATGTCGGTGAAGGGCAAAACCTAATATTGATATTTTGATCAGTTTGTTATTTCTGAAAACAAGTTTAATACCTTTGAAACAAATATGTGGGATACTTAAAAATGATCAGGAAAACAAGTTGTTTGAAATATGTTCAAGAAAAATGTAGATTTGTACATTCTTTGAAATGCCTTTGGTGATTAGCATTTTTAATCCTGTAATTATGTTGTAAATTATGTCCAAATCTGTTATGTGTGCAGCATGGAAACCATAATACTGTAATATATACTTGACACCGACTCCTGATTTGTGTTTTTTTCAAAGGTTTTATTTCCACTGTGATAGTGTGGCATTGTTTTGCCCACTGCCGAAATATCATGTATTAAAGTGTGCTTTGTGAATTAATTCCCACAGTGGTGGTCCCATAAGTCTGCTTCTTAAACAACTTGTGTTACGCAATTATTAAGAATCAAATGTTCAATGAGAATGCCAGGTTAACCCTCTTACAATTATAAATTTTTCAGAAAAATTGTATTTTGCGCATTTTGATTAAAAATACAAGGTTAACCCCTTACAATTTTTAATTTGTCAGAAAATTTTAATTTTGCCCAATTTTACTAAAAATGCAAGGTTAACCCCTTTATAATTTTAAATTTTTCAGAAAAGTCAAATTTTGCCCCCTAAATTAAAAATGCAAGGTTAACCCCTTACAATTTTTAAATTTGTCAGAAAAGTCCAATTTTGACCCAATAATTAAAAAAGCAAGGTTAACCCCTTACAATTTTTCATTCTTCAGAAAAATTTTAATTTTCCCCATTTCACTTAAAAATGCAAGGTTAACCCCTTAGAATTTTTGATTTGTCAGAAAAGTCAAATTTTTAACCCAAAACTAGAAAAATGCCAGGTTAACCCCTTACAATTTTTAAATTTGTCAGAAAAATTGAAATTTTCCCAATTTCACTAAAAATGCAAGATTAACCCCTTACAATTTTTAATTTGTCAGAAAAGTCAAATTTTGACCCAAAACTAGAAAAATGCAAGGTTAACCCCATACAATTTTTAATTTTTCAGAAAATTATAACTTTGCCCAATTTTATTAGAAATGCAAGGTTAACCCCTTATAATTTTTAATTTGTCAGAAAAGTCAAATTTTGACCCAAAACTAGAAAAATGCAAGGTTAACCCCTTACAATTTTTAATTTGTCAGAAAACTCTAATTTTCACCCAAAATTAAAAAAGCAAGGTTAACCCCTTACAATTTTTTGAATTTTTCAGAAAAATTAAAATTTTCCCAATTTTACTGAAAATGCAAGGTTAACCCCTTACAATTTTTAATTTGTCAGAAAAGTCAAATTTTGACCCCAAAATTAAAAATGCAAGGTTAACCCCTTACAATTTTTTATTTTGCAGAAAATTTTAATTTTCACCCAAAAATAAAAAAGCAAGGTTAACCCCTTACAATTTTTTTAATTTTTCAGAAAAATTAAAATTTTCCCAATTTCACTGAAAATGCAAGGTTAACCCCTTACAATTTTTAATTTGTCAGAAAAGTCAAATTTTGACCCAAAACTAGAAAAATGCAAGGTTAACCCCTTACAATTTTTAATTTGTCAGAAAACTCTAATTTTCACCCAAAAATAAAATAAAAGCAAGGTTAATCCCTTACAATTTTTTTAATTTTTCAGAAAAATTAAAATTTTCCCAATTTCACTAAAAATGCAAGATTAACCCCTTACAATTTTTAATTTGTCAGAAAAGTCAAATTTTGACCCAAAACTAGAAAAATGCAAGGTTAACCCCATACAATTTTTAATTTTTCAGAAAATTATAACTTTGCCCAATTTTATTAGAAATGCAAGGTTAACCCCTTATAATTTTTAATTTGTCAGAAAAGTCAAATTTTGACCCCAAAATTAAAAATGCAAGGTTAACCCCTTACAATTTTTGATTTTGCAGAAAATTTTAATTTTGCACAATTTTATTAAAAATGCAAGGTTAACCCCTTACAATTTTTAATTTGTCAGAAAAGTCAAATTTTGACCCAAAACTAGAAAAATGCAAGGTTAACCCCTTACAATTTTTAATTTGTCAGAAAACTCTAATTTTCACCCAAAATTAAAAAAGCAAGGTTAACCCCTTACAATTTTTTGAATTTTTCAGAAAAATTAAAATTTTCCCAATTTCACTGAAAATGCAAGGTTAACCCCTTACAATTTTTAATTTGTCAGAAAAGTCAAATTTTGACCCAAAACTAGAAAAATGCAAGGTTAACCCCTTACAATTTTTAATTTTTCAGAAAATTATAATTTTGCCCAATTTTATTAGAAATGCAAGGTTAACCCCTTATAATTTTTATTTTGTCAGAAAAGTCAAATTTTGACCGCAAAATTAAAAATGCAAGGTTAACCCCTTACAATTTTTTATTTTGCAGAAAATTTTAATTTTCACCCAAAAATAAAAAAGCAAGGTTAACCCCTTACAATTTTTTGAATTTTTCAGAAAAATTAAAATTTTCCCAATTTCACTGAAAATGCAAGGTTAACCCCTTACAATTTTTAATTTGTCAGAAAAGTCCAATTTTGACCCAAAACTAGAAAAATGCAAGGTTAACCCCATACAATTTTTAATTTTTCAGAAAATTATAATTTTGCCCAATTTTATTAGAAATGCAAGGTTAACCCCTTATAATTTTAAATTTGTCAGAAAAGTCAAATTTTTACCCCAAAATTAAAAATGCAAGGTTAACCCCTTACAATTTTTTATTTTGCAAAAAATTTTAATTTTCACCCAAAAATAAAAAAGCAAGGTTAACCCCTTACAATTGTTTTAATTTTTCAGAAAAATTAAAATTTTCCCAATTTCACTGAAAATGCAAGGTTAACCCCTTACAATTTTTAATTTATCGAAAGTCAAATTTTGACCCAAAACTAGAAAAATGCAAGGTTAACCCCTTACAATTTTTAATTTTTCAGAAAATTATAATTTTGCCCAATTTTATTGGAAATGCAAGGTTAACCCCTTATAATTTTTAATGTCAGAAAAGTCAAATTTTGACCCCAAAATTAAAAATGCAAGGTTAACCCCTTACAATTTTTAATTTTGCAGAAAATTTTAATTTTGCCCAATTTTATTAAAAATGCAAGGTTAACCCCTTACAATTTTTAATTTGTCAGAAAAGTCAAAATTTGACACAAAAATAAAAAGATGCAAGGTTAACCCCTTACAATTTTTAATTTTTCAGAAAATTAGAATTTTGCCCAATTTTATTAGAAATGCAAGGTTAACCCCTTATAATTTTTAATTTGTCAGAAAAGTCAAATTTTGACCCAAAACTAGAAAAATGCAAGGTTAACCCCTTACAATTTTTAATTTGTCAGAAAACTCTAATTTTCACCCAAAAATAAAAAAAGCAAGGTTAACCCCTTACAATTTTTTGATTTTTTCAGAAAAATTAAAATTTTCCCAATTTCACTGAAAATGCAAGGTTAACCCCTTACAATTTTTAATTTGTCAGAAAAGTCAAATTTTGACCCAAAACTAGAAAAAAGCAAGGTTAACCCCTTACAATTTTTAATTTTTCAGAAAATTATAATTTTGCCCAATTTTATTAGAAATGCAAGGTTAACCCCTTATAATTTTTAATTTGTCAGAAAAGTCAAATTTTGACCCCAAAATTAAAAATGCAAGGTTAACCCCTTACAATTTTTTATTTTGCAGAAAATTTTAATTTTCACCCAAAAATAAAATAGCAAGGTTCACCCCTTTCAATTTTTTGAATTTTTCAGAAAAATTAAAATTTTCCCAATTTCACTGAAAATGCAAGGTTAACCCCTTACAATGTTTAATTTGTCAGAAAAGTCAAATTTTGACCCAAAACTAGAAAAATGCAAGGTTAACCCCTTACAATTTTTAATTTGTCAGAAAATTATAATTTTGCCCAATTTTATTAGAAATGCAAGGTTAACCCCTAATAATTTTTAATGTCAGAAAAGTCAAATTTTGACCCCAAAATTAAAAATGCAAGGTTAACCCCTTACAATTTTTTATTTTGCAGAAAATTTTAATTTTGCCCAATTTTATTAAAAATGCAAGGTTAACCCCTTACAATTTTAAATTTGTCAGAAAAGTCAAAATTTGACACAAAAATAAACAGATGCAAGGTTAACCCCTTACAATTTTTAATTTTTCAGAAAATTATAATTTTGCCCAATTTTATTAGAAATGCAAGGTTAACCCCTTATAATTTTTAATTTGTCACAAAAGTCAAATTTTGACACAAAAATAAAAAATGCAAGGTTAACCCCTTACAATTTTAAAAAATTTTCAGAAAATTTTTAATTTTGCCCAATTTTACTAAAAATGGAAGGTTAATCCCTTATAATTTTTAATTTGTCAGAAAGTCAAATTTTGACCCAAAAATAAAAAATGCAAGGTTAACCCCTTACAATTTGTATTTTTTCAGGAAACTTTAATTTTGCCCAATTTTACTAAAAATGCAAGGTTAGCGCCTTACAGTATTTAAGTTTTCAGAAAAAAATAAAATTTTCTTAATTCCACTTAAAATGCAAGGTTAACCCCTTACAATTTTAATAACTTCAACTTTTTCGTATAAAAAGATCACTGTCAACATTGCATATGTAATAAAGACTTAAAAGGATAAAAAAATAACATAACACCATAATTCCAGTATTTCTGTGTCAAAATGTTTTATTTTAAACATTTTTTTACAAGAAACATAATCCTATTTGTAGAATTTCATTTGATGTTTCAGAAAACGTAAATCACAAGAAAACGGCATAATTTTTGGACCTTCATAAAGTCAATTTTTGTAGCAAAAAGAACACAAACAAAAACCAACAATTCAGACATAGTTTACAAAAGTGTGCTTTGCATTATCATAAACATTGTTATCCCAAGGAGTTCCTCATCCTGAACAAAAAATTTGTTTTAATTTTAATTTTCACATTTTTTTTCTATTTTCCTATCCACTCCTTTCACACTGTTTATTGCGACAGACCTTCAGCGTAGCAGCCATCTTAGAGGGCAGTGCCTTTGTTTTTCTGGGATAGCATAAGTGAACCATTTGTGCATTCACTGCTACTGAATTAAACAAAAGATGCCCTCTAATATGGCCGATATGCATAAGGTCCATACCTTGTGGCCTACCAATGTACCAAATGACAGAAAATACTGTTCATAAATTTTGAAACCAAAAAAGCAGACTCTATTTTTTGGTGTTATAATAGTATCAAACGTGGTTCGCTTCAATTTTAAGCAGTCAGATAACCAATAACGCTGTCAAATTCAGTTCCCCAAAACATGTGAAATACATCTTTGTATCTTAATCTAGATTATTAACCAATAAGGCTGTACTTTTTGGTCATGTTTGGGTTGATATGACCATAATGCATGGTCTGCAACTTGCTTTGTAAATAGTGTAAAATACTTTCAAAAAGTGAATGGTTTTACTCCCGATGTTACGGTGACCCAACTTGTCACCATTTCTATCCTACTTTTTTTTGCTCAACGCCTTAAATGTATGCAATAGCCATCAAGGAATACTTTGTACAATTTACATCATAAATACATGCCATGCAAATAATGGTCACACTTTATATCCAATGTTTTAAGTTCAAAATGCAAAAGTAAACTAAAAAAATGGCAGAAATATCATATAGGCCTGTAAAGAACAACTTGTAATAAAATGCAAACAAGCTAAAGATTTCTGAAGAAAGAAATTGGCATGTTGACAAAAAAACATCAACGATGTGCGAATGAAAACATTTAATCAATGTATCACTAGCAATCTTTACTGACTGCTTCTACATTTTTTACATATAGATCATGCTGCTGCTCATGCTTGAGTTTATTGTTGACGCGAACTGTACGTTAACATTTGAGTTGAATGTAGCTTAACTGACTGGTCCTAGTTTCCGGTTAGAATGATGGGGATTGTGAAAGTGGCTCAGTGGTATCTCTGAGAGGGTTCTAGATGTCACCACCTGTGACGTCATTGTCATTGGTCATTGTCATCATCCCAAGGTGACACATAGGCGGCATTATCAGTTGGAATGGTGGATATCATGAAAGTGGCTCAGTGGTACCTCTGAGAGGGTTCTAGATGTCACCTTCTTGACGTCATTGTCATTGGTCATTGTCATCATCCCAAGGTGACATGGCACCACCTGTGACGTCATTGTCATTGGTCATTGTCATCATCCCAAGGTGACATGTGCAGCAGTCAAATAAACCTGCAGGCAGTTGGCCACTTTCTCGTCGAGGCCAGTCTTGATGAGTTGTACCAGCTGGGAGAGAACAGACAAATATAAATGAGAGATTGAATATAAAACCAAGGGAAGGTATCTACTGCACAGTCCTGTTTCCAACTTTAAATGAAAATTTCAAAAACAAAATCTGAAATACAGCCAAAAGACTGTGAACAGCTTTTCAGACCCCCAACAAAATCTGCACAAATATATACCACCCCACTGTAAACAAAAAGATCCCCCAGAAACTAGCTAAGTCCCTTTTTTTCTTGAAGAAATTAATTTTTTTCTGAGAATTTGAGAAGTGTAGTGAAGTTGATCGCAATCTTTTCCTTCTACTCTTAAAAAAAGGAAGACTTTCTGTAGGGTGACAAAAAGTTCTGAAGCACAAAAGTCCAAAACTAGGTCTTCACATATATAGTTCCCTTCCCCTTTCCACTCCCCCAAAAAAATCCTCTAAATTGTTTTTTTTAGCCCAAAACTACAAACTCCTAAAATATAAAACTGGAAGGGTTCTCACCTCTGGGTGTGCCGTACAGACACTCTTCAGCCCCTGCGCCAGAAAGATCTTAGCGTCGGGCACCGCTCCCCTGAACGGATCGGTCTCATGCTTCCCAGCAAATGCCAGCTGAGAGTAAGCGGTCTGGTACCCAGGGGTATCCTCTATCTCTATAAAGTGCTCATCGTCCGGTAGACTGTCGTCCTCCGGGAGCTCAAAGAGGTGGACTAAGGCTTGCAGAAGGTTGGTCCTGGTGGGCAAAAAAAGAACAATGGCAATCAGTGGTTTCAGTTGGACTCCGTGTACGGACAAAAGAGGGCGCTCACAGGGTTTCATGTGCGGACAAAAGAGGGCGTGCTTCGTAATCACTCGTGAGAGCTTCCAGGAAGGAACATGTGTGCATACTGCGCACACTGGTTCATGAAGCAAGGTATGATCAATTAATGTTGTTTTGAATGTGCACAAATGGACTGACTTCCACTTGTGACTTAGAATGGCTGTAGGTGAAGAGTACCAGGCAGTGCTATCATATGTGACCACAAAAAAAGGTATGATGTTGCAAAAATGTTATATGAAATTGAATTATATACATGGTGGGAACGTCAGCTTTCATTTGGTATATATGATACAGCTCCATGGCCCCTCCAGTTCTGGAGATATGATGTATGTGCATGTTAATATTAATAACTTACATGTACATGGAGTTCAAATTACACAACTGAGAAAACAGGCTTTAAAATAGCTGGCTTTGTTGTAGATTTAGGCACGATACACTCAAAATTGTCACTTTGTCCCCACTTTATTCATCGAAACCAACATTTCTGTGAATGAATCCTGAAACTAGGTATTAAAGATGTCATTCATGACAAAAAAAAAATGAAAATCATATTTTGACGAAATGTTCACCCTCTCAACATTGAGTGGGCCATTACACGATAATACACAACGCGACCTAATACCCTTTTTTTTGTGTGGAGTGGGTCACATATAGGATTATCCTGCTACAATGAATGGGCTAAATCGTGAAAAGACATCCAGTGAATTGCCGTTCATAATTGGCCCATTATGTAGACCAGACGCAGGACAAGTTTTCCATTGATTAGCCGTTCTGAATCAATCAAACAGAATTCCGTGCGCTCTGGGACCCGCTTTGCTAGACTTTCCTGGTCTTGTTACTCACCAGTGCGGTTGTAGTGCTGGTTCAAACATCGCTGGGCATTCAGTCAGTATCTTCGTGATTCCAACGGCGCATATCTTCCTCTCCAGGTGACCCGAGACTTTCTGCACCTCGGGAATGTACAACTTCTCCAGTACCATGCCAAACATCCTGAACAAACAAAAAGAAACAGACAAACAACAAACAAATAAACAAACAGATAATGTAGCTAGAACGCCATGGTCCAGTGGTTACGGTGTTTAACTCGTGTACCAAGGTGCGTGGATTCGAACCCTGACTGGGAAACATGGTGTTTGTGCCCTTGGGCAAGACACTGAACTACAATTGCCTCTCTCCACCCAGGAGTATGAATGGGTACCTGTGAGGGTAGAGACAAGATTGTGCTGATGCTTGTGTTCTTGGGCAAGACACTGAACTACAATTGCCTCTCTCCACCCAGGAGTATGAATGGGTACCTGTGAGGGTAGAGACAAGATTGTGCTGATGCTTGTGTTCTTGGGCAAGACACTTTACTACAATTGCCTCTCTCCACCCAGGAGTATGAATGGGTACCTGTGAGGGTAGAGACAAGATTGTGCTGATGCTTGTGATCTTGGGCAAGACACTTTACTACAATTGCCTCTCTCCATCCAGGAGTATAAATGGGTACCTGTGAGGGTAGAGGCCAGATTGTGCTGATGCTTGTGTTCTTGGGCAAGACACTGAACTACAATTGCCTCTCTCCACCCAGGAGTATGAATGGGTACCTGTGAGGGTAGAGACAAGATTGTGCTGATGCTTGTGTTCTTGGGCAAGACACTGAACTACAATTGCCTCTCTCCACCCAGGAGTATGAATGGGTACCTGTGAGGGTAGAGACAAGATTGTGCTGATGCTTGTGATCTTGGGCAAGACACTTTACTACAATTGCCTCTCTTCACCCAGGAGTATAAATGGGTACCTGTGAGGGTAGAGGCCAGATTGCGCTGATGCTTGTGTTCTTGGGCAAGACACTTACTACAATTGCCTCTCTCCACCGAGGAGTATAAATGGGTACCTGTGAGGGTCGAGGACCGATTGCGCGCTGATATCGGCTGCCGCGTGGTCTCATGGCCTGATGAACGGGGTAATAATTGTAAAGCGCTTTGAGATCGTTGATACGATGGAGAGCGCTATATAAGCACAATTATTATTTTTAGTTCTGTTATCAGTCTTTGGAATCAACAATTTAAGAACAGCTATCGTTCAGCCAATTCAAGGACGGTTGATTTTTTTCCAACGCAGGAAATGGTTTACACTTTTACTCTCGTTAAAAAATGTGACCTGCTCTACCAACATCAAGGTACGGAGGTTTTCTCAAGTATCACTACTAAACTATTCAAACGTGCCGATCATTTTTCAATTAAATTTCTTTAAGTTAGGTTCATTTTCAACGCCTGATACTCAGTAATAATCACTGCAACATTTCCGTGGAAATGGGTAAAAACGAGGCTCATTACTGCAAAGTGCTCACTTTATCCAAATGTGGATATTCCAACTTATCCCTCATTTTGATGGAAGTCACAGATCATTAACAAGTCGTTCATTATGCTGACTTACTTGGCTTGGATTTCTTCAATCATGCGGACCAGGGAATCAGCGCCGTGCTTGACAGCAAACAGACTGAAGAAGACCAGAAGACCTTCACAATGGGGAACAGATAAAAGACTGAGCTCAGAAAACCCAGCACAGGTGTTTTAGTTTGTTCATAAGATGGAATTCAGTTTGCGTCGGGGTGATGTTAATGAAATTAGGTTTTTGCCCTTCACCGACGTATAAACACTGTATACTCAGTGTGTTACCTCCCGCGTGAAAGTTGGAAAAAATCACTCAGGTGGGACTCCAACCTACGACCTCCTGCTTTATAGTGCAGATGTCTTACCACTGGACCTCCAAGCTTACGGGATCGGTTGGCAGGTTCGAATCTGATGTACATAGCAGCGGTTGCCGGATTTACCATATTTTAGTTTACTTTGTTAAACAAGAGTTCATGAGTATTTTGACATAAATCAGTTATATAATAACAGCAAAACGGGCATGTATCAATCTACATTTCTGCATTTTTCTTTTTTGAAACCTGACTGAAAAGAAGTTTCTTGTGCTTACTTTTGACGAACTTTGTGGTCTTGGAGTGGGTTAGTCTCTGGAACAGCAGCAGGAAAATCTTGTGAATGTGCTCCGACAAGGCTGACCTGTCAACACAAAAGAAACGACAATATTTTTCAACAAAAAAAAGGCTACAATTTCAAAAGAAAAAGGTTAAAACTTTGCATCAAAGGTAGCCACGTCACCAAAATCATAGGACATAAGAATTTGGACTTGTTGTGGCAGCCCTGAACCCTTGTCAATACTCCTTCTGGTCAGGTCGTCTCTGCAATACCAGCTTTTTTAAACTTTGCCCTAAACCTGTTGATCTAACTCGGTTATCTAGCCTAGTTATCACACTTGGTTATCTAACCTAGTTATCACACTTGGTTATCTAACCTGGTTATCACACTTGGTTATCTAACCTAGTTATCACACTTGGTTAATTAACCTGGTTATCTCAAACTGAGTCAGACAAGCACCAGTGAACGTGGTGAATTCAGATTGAAAACAAAGAGCATTTCCAATTCCAACAGAGGGATGTTCTTTATGATGTGATCGGGACACTCTAACTCAGCTACCTATCCTAGTTATCACACTTGGTTATCAAACCTGGTTATCTCAAACTGAGTCATACAAGCACAAGTGAACATGGTGAATTCAGTTTGAAAACAAAGCGCATTTCCAATTCTCACAGAGGGATGTTCTTTATGATGTGATCGGGACATTCAGAATTTTCCGGATGTTCTGTGAGAATAATTTTGAGGGCTATGACTTACGCTTCCATGTGTTCCAGAAGGCTCTGCATGACGTAGAAGCCTTGGTGATCGTTGGCTTTGGAGGAAATCAACTTCTGAAACACGCCCAGGATGCCAAGCTAAAAGTTCAGGAAAACAATTACACTGGCTTTTGACTTGTGAGGACTTGTAATGGTCTAGTGGGGACTGCAAGGATTTGTGAGGACTTGATATAGACTTGCGATGACTTGTGAGAACTTTTGGGGACTTGTGAGGACTTGATATAGACTTGTGAGGACTTTTGAGGACCTAGGGGACTATTTAAGACTTTTGGCACTTGTGAGGACTTGAGATAGACTCCTGAGGACTTCAGATAGACTCCTGAGGACTTGATATAGACTTGTGAGGACTTGAGATGGACTTTTGATGAACTTGTGAGGACCAAGGGGACTTTTGGCACTTGTGAGGACTTGAGATGGACTTGTGAGGACTTTTTGGATTGTGAAGACTTGTGAGGACTTGTGAGTACTATTGAGGACTTGTGATGGGCAGCGCGAGACTCACCACTTTGCCTTCCTTGACGATGTCGGCCGAACCCTTCTCAATGTAGGCCTGGATGAGGCGGACCAGGGGCGGGATGTTGCCCTGCTTCTCCCACAAGACGGGGGTGAGGAGGTGGGGGAAGAGGACCATGTAAGGAGCGGGGCAGTCCGTGTGCATCTCAAGCATGAGCGACATGATCTGGAACACGTAGGGGATGAACTCTAAGCAGAAAAAGGAAAGATTTCACAACTGATTAGAACAGTGTGAACCGCGGTAGACCTCGTTAATTTGTCAATGTTACCAAACCTAAAGCACCAACTCGCTGCACTAAATTGAGCTTAACTGCAAAGGCATCATAAAATCATTTCAAATTTTCTCAATTTCACCAAACTCATTACAACTTCTAAACTTTAATTTACAAAAATATTTACATTATGTCTAGACTTTGGGCTTGTTTCTCAGCTCATTATATCGTGAAATGCCTCTGAAATGATACTGAACCAGAGACTTGTCATAACTTGTAATGAGCTGACATATAAGTTGCGATGAGTTTGAGCGTCTGAAATTTCTTCAAATCGTTTATAGCAGCTATGGTAATTACTTCGTAGTATCAATTTCTACAACGGCATGCAAACAAAATTGGTCAAAAATTTGGCCTGAGACATGAGTCTTACCTCCAATGTCTGCAGTGAGTATGTCTTGGAATGGTGGAAACAGGGCCATCTCAAAGATGGAGACGTTGGATGCGTCGGCTTGGCAACCGGACCGGACAGACAGACTGATGGCCTCAAACAGGTAGTGGTTGAAGTGAGGCTTGCTGGGATTCTGAGGAAAATATTAAGAGGCATTACTTTAAGGCCTGCTCACACTTCAATGTGGGGAGTGTGGCCTGGTAGTTAAGTTTATGACTCATGATCAGAGGGTCAGGGGTTCGAATCCAGCCGCTGGCCATATGTGACCTGTTCTGTCAAAAGCAGACGATTCTGGGTAGAGGTTGAAATTGAGATAGGACCAAAAAACGCTGTGGGGGTGATTTTTGTGCGATTTTCTAATTTTTGCATATTTGTAATACTGAACATGTCTAAAATATACTTTAAAAGTTTAAAACCATAATTTGAACTCTAAATAAAGTATTTTTGATGATTTGTTAAGGTATATCAGTTAAAGAAATGTCTGTTTTGTGACGTTTGTGGCCATTTTCTCTGTTTTCTACTTTTCGACACAATGAACTTCAAAATAGCATATTTTTGCCCAGGAATGACCGGTTTCAAAAATATTACCACCTTTTAAAACGAAAATGTCCATATTTTAACATTATGCAAAAATCTCATTTTTGACCGTATGCCCAGAAAAGTCTGATTTTGACAGAACAGGTCACATATGTTGTGTCCTTGGGGTTGGGCAAGCCACTTCATCCCTACTTGCCTCTCTCCACCCAGGAGTATAAATGGGTACCGGCATTAGCTGGGGAGTAACCTGCGATGGACTAGCATCCCATCCAGGGGAATAGAAATATTCTCAGTCGTTTCATGCTACTGAAACCGGAGATTAACGCCGGCCTGATGGGCCACAAAGGCTCGTGACAGATTTTACTTTACATTTCAAATGCAAGAACTAAATATCATCGGCAAATTTGCTTGTCATTCTTTCTGCTAGCTGAGTCAAGCCGTTGATAAGAGATAGCCCTGGCTATGGCTCTGGCCACTTCTCATAGACGCATGTGTTCTTTCCAGCCACAGCCAAGTAATTCAGACGAAGCCTAATGTCACACTCAATTAATTAACAGCCCCTGGTTTCTTGGGAGTTGGCCATGCTTTAAGTTTCTTCACCTTGCTGACAAGGAGCAATTTCTCAGTCAGTTTGGCGACGATGACTTGCAGGTAAGGTACAGCCTCCGCTTTCAGCATGACAAGGGATCTCATGATTGCTACAAGACAAACAGAACACAAAACAGAAACAACATTTAAACATTTTATTTCATTTTGTCATTGATTCCAGTACCTGTGGTATACCCAAAGCTGCGATTTAATTTCTTCAAGTTTACATTTTTTAACACATTAGTCCATGTACCCGCCAGCACTGTGAACCTTCCAGGGTATTTTTGGCTAAAACGCAGCAACACTTGTGAAAATGACAAGCCTGCTCAGTGTAGCAAGATCCATCAGGTCAAAAAGTCTCACGACCACATAAGCGTGTTCAGTATTCCAGCTGCGCATGTGCAGATCAAGATTTGCCGATTTTATTTCGGGATATAAATTTCATCATATGCATGCAAAAGCATAGCTGGGCACCAGCAAAATTGAAGAGATCATCGTGTTCTGAAGTATAACATTTTTGCAAAAACCTTTGGACAGCAAGTTTTTTTTTAGGTGTCTTGTGTGTCAAACCTTTTGTGCGAACGAAAGTTCCATCTTTTCTTGATTGCACGAAAAATTGCACAGAATGCAGATTTGGTTACCAAGTCCCCTAAACTGGCTTATTGCCTCAGAGTCTGTGGTCACCAACTGCAGCAAGATACAACTGTGGCATTGTTCAATGGGATTAGCTCTCATTGTCTCAGAATCGGGCGTTAATGCACTGAAGTTGATGGCTCAATGCAGCAAGGCCCCACAGACTTTGACACCTGATGCACTGTGTTGCGTCTGGCAGGCTTAGGGTTAAGAAATAAATGCATTGTAATGCAAGTGCTATTTGGTTAAAAGCCTATACCTTTCATGATGTATTCGTTCTCTTCCGATCCTGAGAACTCCATCGCAGCGAAGAGGTTGGTCAGCAGCAGCTCAATGTGCGGTTTGACACTTTCGACCGAGATACTGAAACGGCAAGACACAGAAAGGCAAGAAGTGAGTACCTGGCGAGAGGTGCGATGTGACCAAGGTACGAATCCTGTCCGGCCATTTCTTTTTATCAGTACCCACTGTTGTTGCACAACGTCAGCACCCAGGTTAGGGACGGAGATTCTTTGAAGGCCATGGAAAAATGAGGCAAATTGTAACAGGCAACTTTTGAGGGCAATACATGCACAACCAACAGTTTACAGGAATTCAGTATTCACAAACTACTCAAATGGGACTAGAACCCACGACCTCCTGCTTATTAGTGCGGACGTCTTACCACTCGACCACTGAGCTTGCCGGGGTCAGCAAACGGCTAAACGCAATATTGAATTTACAGCTCCCGATGTAAATTCCATCGTATATATGAAAACTGAAAATTATACGTCATTATTATTATTTTTTTTTTTTTTAGAGATTACCAGAAAAAAAAGTTGACTGAAAATTTCCTCATCTGACACAACTTTTAATTTTTTTTCTTTAACCAGTTCAAGCCTGGATTATTTTGACATTGACGGGCGCGGGATTATTTTGACATTGACGGGCGCGGGATTGTTTTTCACGAACCTCGATCCAAGATGGATTAGGCTGTCATCTGCGGGTAGCACACCCTGATATTTCTGGCCTCGCTTGCTGCGAGCAGGTCACTGACAGATTTTTCTGGCCCCGCTTCCAGCGTGTATACACATCATCCGATGCGAACTGGTTAAGAAATTTAAAAAAAATCTTCCAAACTCAAGATTTTTGAACTCACGCTCCGTGTCCGTTACCCAGTTTGACCGTGAAGAGTCTCTCAATGGCGTGAGCTGCGTAGGTATGGACCACGGTACTCTCCGCTCGGAGTAGGGTGATGAGACATGGAATAGCCGCTGACAGGACCTCCGCGGGTATGATCTGACGGAAGGCCATCACGTACTTGATAGCGTCGGCCTTGAGAACTGGAAACTCATCGACTGGGTGAAAGCAGAAAACAAATCTTAATCATAACGGACAAAGGCAACAAAATAAGTCAGTTCCCTTAACCATCCTGTGCTTACATTTTTACTGAATTTCAAAATCAAAAAATCAAAATCAAAATCAAGAGTCTATCTCAAGGTAATCTCATGTCAAAAAAAAAAAACCAAGTTAGTTGACTTATAACAGGGAATGAACGCTGATCAAGGAATACTTTTGCACTTAAAACAGTTCAGTTTCTCACTTGATGTGTGATTGATTTTGTGAAAGACTTGTGAGCACTTGATTACAATTCTGCTGAAAAGATGATGGGAACCCAACAGTAAAGATTGCTGCAATTTTTATCAGATTGTTCATACATCAGAGAGGTTTAACGTTGAATGCCGTTTTATGACTTGGGCTTAGTAGATAAACTGATCTGGAGTCACTGTGAAACTGTCTGCATTATTGTTGAGACGAGTTGTCAATGAGACCTACCTTTGTCTGATTGGAGATCTGAAGCAATGTGTGCAGTGAAGAAATCGTTAATGTTGACAAGCTGTCTGACCTCCGTTGTACCATGCTGGTGGGAACAAATTTTATTTTGAAATTTAGCTCTGTTTTGAATTATCACAACATGACTAAAACAGATTTTTACTCAAGACTTAGACTACCATGACCTTGAAAGATACGCTGGAGCCTGGCTTCAAGCCAAATCCACCCTTAAAACCTGTTACTGTTCGAAGTTAGTGCCTGCGATTCGAGACTTTTCTTTACCTTTTGTGTCTTGGACTTGGAGGCCAGTGAGGTGACCAGATATATGGCTGCATCTTTACTCTTCCAGTTAGTGGTAGGATTGGAGGCATACAGCTGTAAGAAATAAACAAGAATCTTGGGTAAACAGCGCCTAAGATTAACGATTTCAATCCATGCACTGACCTAAGAAGCCAGAAGCATAAGAAAATGGTTCACACTTTTGACCTGCATGGCTCACAGAGTGGGCCAAATATACAGGCATGCAACTGGGAAATCACACAAAAAAGAGGAAATTCAAATTTTCCCCAGAATTTGTACAGTGTTTTTCTATTTTCAATGGCACACAGGGGAAGTAAAAAAAAGAGGAAATCAGCTGATCCGAGGAAAAGTTGCATGCCTGAATATACCACCAGCTTTGATGTGGTCCTTTTGAATTTTGAAGCCACAAAAGGGAATTTCTGCAAATAAAAAAATTGTACACAGAGATACGACTGTTTGTTTACACAAAAAATTACCTCAAGCATGGCGCCGACGTAACTCGAGAAAATCTGAGTCACGGTCGCCTCGAAGAATTTACAGAGAGATTTGACGAGATCGCAGGCAGAACGTCGCCGCGTGTCAATATCTAGCAAGAAAACGCCATGGAATAAACTGTATGTTAAAACATAAAGCGTAAACAGTAAACAAGATTATATTCTTAAGTTGTCTCTTGCAAAAGAACAGTTTTCACAAATACATCATCTGTAAAATTTCGGGAAAAAAAAGTTCATTGCCCAATGGAAAACCAACCTGAGCCTTCGATATCTCTTCGAATGTACTCCTCTGGGTTGAACTCAAACAACTCCTCATCGGATGCTAACAGCAAAGAAGGAAAAATCATAAATTGTGAGAGTTGAAAATTTGATCAAAGTAGATTATTCTGAATGCATGTCAACCAAAGAATTTTCTTGAATTAGAAATATTTCTCAGTCTATCTAGTTTATAACGTTTACGTACATTTGGGGTCTAATTGAAGGATATCAATAAAAGTTGGGCAGCAATGTACCTCTGAACTCCATGTTAGGCACGATGACTTTCTCGCAGATGCTGGTCAAGACTTCAGGTTTCTCAAAGAGATCCTTGTAGTGAGCACGGTCGGCGACTGACGCCAGGAACTGAATGGCGTTACTCACCAACTGAAAACAGGAATATTTCATGACGTCAGATTTGACCGACGGCAAAAAAGTCTTCTATTCTTCGGAAGAGGCCATTTTGTGCTGAAATATGGCTTAAAAATGTGGTTTTGTGGGATGGCATTATAACCCAGGTGTCTCCATATTTTTGTCAGGCATCTTAAAAAATCCTCCAAACTTCACAAATATACTGGAAACTCTGTTTAAACTTTCAAGGTGAATCAAGCCTCAAATCAGGTAATAATTAATGGGGTCTACCATTTTCAAACCAAAATTCTTCCAAAACTCCTGAAAAGTTTTTGAAAGATCTTAGGTTGAATTAACAAATAGTAAGTTTCCAGATGATCAGGAAACTATACTTCAAATAACAAGAACTACAGGTCTGTAAACACGGAGCTATATAGCTCAGTTGTTAAAGCACAGCTACAGTAACCAAGAGGTCTGAGGTTCGAATCCTACTTCACTTAATTTTCAATTAATAATACTGATAATAATCAAGAAAATTTTAATTCAAGTAAAAAGCAACTGCAGGACTATAAACACAGACCTAGATAACTTGGATGTTAAAACACATGTACAGTAATCTATAAGTCTGGGGTTCAAACTCCGCTCAAGTTAATTCTCAATGCTCAATACTGATAATTTCCAAATAATATAGACAGACCTAGATAACTTGGTTGTTAAAACACATGTACAGTCATCTAGAGGTCTGGGGTTCAAACTGATAATTTTCAGATAATCAAGAAAAATTTAATTCAAGTAACAAGCAACTGCATGGCTGTAAACACAGACATATCACAGTTGGTTCAGCACAGTTACAGTAATCTTTAGGTCTGGGGTTCAATTCCCCCAAGTTAAATTTCAATTTTTCATATTGCCCAGTTGGTTTGCAAGGATTTTGACTAAATAGTTATAACTTCTCAGATTTTCAAGATGCAAATGAAGGTCTGATAGCTCAGTTGGTTCAGCACAGCTACAGTAATCTAGTGGTCTAGGGTTCGAATCCTTACACAAGTTAACTTTTCAATGCTTCCTACTGACCAGATCGTATTTGACTTCCTTGCCGGTGGTCACCAGCAGATGCCAGACGGCTGTGACAAACTGCGGCAGGAACGTGCCGAACTCCTCGTCGTATTTCTGCGCATAGAGGGCGATGTTGTCGCAGATCTGGGATTTGAGTCGCTCTAAGGTCCCAGCCTCTTCTTCATTCTAAATCATGCATTAAAGCAAAAAAACCAACATGAATACGATGATCGGGAAATTTTTACCAGAACACTGAGTAAAACCTCTAGTTTTTCTAAAGAACCTCCTTTTTTTTTTTAAAGAGAGAGCCATTTCGCATAATCTGCAAACTTTTCCAAAGTTTGACAGTCATGTATTAAAGCTGAACTGAAAAAAAAATTGGGGCAAGCAAATTTTGATTCTAATTTCTTAATTTTTTGTGTGTTTATTTATTTATATTTTTTTGTGGGGGAGGGGTGATTGAGGAGGAAAGATGATTGGGACATTTGAAGAGAAGTTTTATATTTTGTTTGTTTGTTTGTTTTGGTTTATGGTTTCTGTGCAATTGTTTTTGTTTCGATGTATCTGGCCATTCCCAGCACTTGCCGCCATGTTTATGTTTAACGCCGGTATGTTAACCCTAACCCCCTACTGTGATTTACTAGGAACCTTCCTCACTCCTGCAAATTCCAACACCATATGGTAAACTCTACACCCAAACTGTTGGACTCTGATTATGGTGGTATGCCTAACCCCACGTAAAGCATAATCACTTTACTAATGCAGTACTCACTCCAACAGATTCCAACAAACCTTGGTGTTGGAATTTGCCTGGACGGAGATTGTTAGGGTTAACGATAAAAGAGCATAAAACAAAAACCAACCTTGGTGTGTAGGGCAGGAACGTCCTCACTGACGAGTTTGAGGAAGTTAGTCATCCATGTGTTCATGTTGTCCTCAAAGTACTCGGGCAGGTCCTGCATGGAGAGACAATTGATATTTAGGAATATCAATATATAAAAAACAAAACACTGAAGAGTATGAATGAATAAGTCCACACTGCGCAGCATCAGAGTCTTGTAGCGGACTCATACGTGCTTCTTCCCCACTTGTGGGTTTAAATTCAGTGAAAGGAACGGTAGTCTGGAGACCTGCCCTCATGGTCTGTGAGAACAGGACAGTAAGGATTAGGGTTTGGGTGGAATTAGTTGGAGTTAGGGTTAGGGTGAATGTTTAGGTTTGGGTAAGGGTTAAATGAGACTCCCTGCAAACCACACCAAGAGCAAATCACGTTAATCTGGTTAAACTGGTTAATCACGTAACTGGTTAATTATGTAGCTGGTTAATCACGCAACTGGTTCTCCAGTACAATTTCATGATCGACTGCGACTATTTGTTCTTGTGTATATATTTAATCTACGCTGGCCTGTGTCAAAGGTCATAAGGACGAGAACTTGTTGGCCCATCTCTGATTCTATACCAAAGTGAGAATTGTGTACCACTAGAGGGCGCTGTTGAGGCTCACCTGACAGTTTAGACTGTAGAAGACCTTGCACATCAGGACCAAGGCATCGTATTGTGTCTTGATATCAGTCACGCCAGTAAGATGCACTGTTTTCTGAAGTCAAAATAAAAAAATAAAAAACATAATTATAATATTTAAACAAAAATCTATCACAGCAGGGCTCAAATTTTTCAAGTATGTGTTCAAAACTGTACATATTGGCCATTAATTTTCCCACATCGTAAGGAATATGTATCCAACACTCACCCAGTTTGAAACAAACGGTTGGACTTTTTTATCCACTACTGGAAACATCACCAAAATTTGTCTTTGACTGAACAAAATCCTTACAACAAATCTTGCGGAACTCTAGGCACTAAAGAAAGGAATGTTGAATCCTACTAAGATAAAGACACTTTGAAGATCAATTTATTATTGTAACTGTTGAAAAGTTGGAGAACTAAACAAAATTGTTCGGAAAGATTTCCATATACGAAGTTCACTCAACACCCTGTGTACAAACCCTATGAGATTGGACTGAAAAATTCTAAGTGTTTTCTAAGAAAATGCTTGTATTTTCTCACTGCTCAAATTGACTTTGATGACATGAAATCGCTATCTGGGGGCTTGTTAGTCAATACAGAGGAAAATTAGTGAACTTCGTATATGGAAATCTTTCCAATTGTTACTAGGGGAGTGTCTATTACCTCAAATAAAATGGTAAGCGGCTCGGCAAGCTTGTCCAGGACCATCTTGATTTCCGTCCATAATTCCTGGGACTTGAACTCATGACGATACCTGCAGAGAATTCACACAGTTCAAATTTGTTAGGCACGGAAAAATCCTGCTAAGTTCCAAATTGGCCACAATAAAAATGTGATATTTATACGTCCCATACTTGGTTGAAATTCCACAAATATGTAGGCAATACTGTCTGACAGCCCCAAGGAATTTGTTTACAAATACAAATTATACAAATCCTTCTTTTCAAAGGATAATTTTAAGTTGTTTAGCCTCTTCTGAAAATGAGTTCAGAAATTCCACAATGGAACTTAGGTCAGGCATGGAACTGGGAATTTAGGAAAAAAAAGGGAAAAGTCCAAACCACACAAGACTTTGTAGAGTATTTTTCAATTTGTAATGGCATTCATGAGAAGTAAAAAACGAGGAAATAAGCGGATCCGAGAAAAAGTTGCATTCCTGTTAGGTTAGAAAAGTAGTTTTTGAATATCCGATGTGAAATTTTTTTATTCTTAATCAGTCACTGAAATTCCAAGTGTAATGAGATGAAAATAAGATTGTAAACTGGCTCCGAAATAAATAGTAAAAATATTGGGGTCATTCTTATTAATTAATTCATTAATTCCGACCTTTTGAAGAGGGAGTGTGCTGTTCTGAGGATGCCGTTGATGACGTTGTAGTCATCGCTGCCCAATTTCTCTTTCATCTGCTCAAGAAGCTTGTGCCACTTCTGAGGAAAATCTTCCAAGCCGATGATGCTTATGGCTTCACTCAACTGAGAAGAGGAATCGCGAGGAAGTCAATGTGAAATAAGACGTGAAGGTTTGCATGGTAATTTCATTTTTTTTGTTTTAAGACAGCCTGAGCATTTACCCCAACCCTCTCAGATTTCACCAAAATCCAACTGGAGGTTTTGAAGCATTTCGCAATATTTTACAATCGTACTCCCCAGCTGGACTACTTTTTTGACAAGTCTGCCGCTGTTTTTGCTCGCATTTGGCGAGCGGACTACCGCTGTCCAACCCTGTACTAGCCTATTTGAGATACGGCGGACAAAGGGCTATATTTTGATTGGGTAAATTTGGGTAACTTACAAAAAGAAGTGAACCCACTCCAAATAGACCCCTATTGTGTCCACCATATCCAAAAAAGGCTAACATATACAGCTCTGCGATTCAGACTGAGTAGCGCCCTCTTGAGTTTGCAAATGGAGTCAATACTCCTATAGGTTCTCTACAATCTACACACCTGTCGTTGGAGATTTTCAGGCATCCCCAGCATCAGCTCGACAATCTTGTCTTTGACCAAGCCCCTGTCGGCGTCATTGATCTTATTGGGCTCGTCCTCAACCTAAACACATTTCAGAAACACATTACATTGGCAATTTTGATTTTGACCCATTCTTTCTTTGCCATATCAAAACAAAAGAAGGGCCGCATTTTTAAAACAAGGACTTGTTTTGAGTCGTTAGTAGGTTGCTGCGCAAAATAAAGTCCAGGAAAGAGTGGACTTTAAACTTACCACTCTCCAGTTCCGACGCACGAAGTTCTTGAAGGTGACAGCCGCAGAGATCCTGATAGTGCTGTCCACGTCATCTTTGCTCAGCAACTCCAACAGGAAGATGGAGTAGTTAGCGCGGGCCTCAACGGACTCCAGGTAGGCTTCGGCTGGAATGAAGGGACAGAAACTTGAAACGAAACTCCCAGATTACTCGGTTTAAAACTCAAGGCCGAATTTCAACAGGCTACTGTTAAATGAAATTGTGGGGGTGGGGGGGGGGGGGGGAGGGAGGGGATGTTAAGGAGCTGGGGGGGGGGGGTTGGTTGGATGGGGGAGGAGGAGGGTTCTGCTGCGTACCTGCTCTTCTTTCTGTGATGTTAGCCGAGAGTGTTTGCTGCAAAGAGCTTGCTACCGTGTAGAGATCCTGTGTTGTTAATTCCATTTCTGGAGATTCTAGAAATAAAACAAGAAAATCAACCGTCAGATAAATTTGTTATAAAGTCAATATTATTTGCAGTTTGTCACAAGTTTACTACAGACAAAGCCAATTCGGTAAAGACCACAGGAAAAAAACTTATTTTCTAAGAAATAAAAAGCAAATTCAACACAAAAAGTTAACCACCAGCAAATAAACACGACATTCACAAATAAAAGAGTGATTTTCTTATTGTAGAAGTAACAATACGCAATCAAATAAATGACCTTTGGAACTGGAAGTGTACAAAGTCTGCAGTTAACATGCACGCAACATGTTGCGGAAACCTTATGAATTATTGTTACTTTATAGTTTATGTGAGACCCCATAGTATATATAATTCTACCTCCATGGTTTTAACGTTAGACCACATCCTGAGCTGAACATGCTGAAAAATGAGCAATGTTTCCTATAGTATTAATTTCTGCCTGGTTCTGTGTTGTTGAATGTACCCTAACGTGGCGCAGCCCCCAACGTGGCGCACTTTGATTTTTCGCCTGTAGCGCCTACCTAGAGCAAAAGTTTTAACTGGAATTTCACAGAAACAGAAATTTCATCAAGTTCTAAACACTCTTGTTCATAAATTGCGAGTTTATTTACTCGTAACTAACAAAGTTAAAAGAAAAATTTATTTTGGCGTGATTTTCCGATTTTCTTTTCAAGTGCAAGGTGCACCCTTTGAAAATGCCCCGAAAAATAAGAAAATAATTTTCTGACAAACATCTGGCTGGGTATGTGTATTAGCTCGATGATCGATAATAATTATTTATCAGAATTTATCAAGTTTACAGAAATTCTAAAATGTTAATTTGGAATTTTCCGAGATTTTCCACGTTAGGGAACACTCCGCCATTTTGTGCCAAATTTCCGGACGCCACCGTTTTTGAATTTCGGATTAAATTTTATGTTCAATATTTTGCACATGGGAGGCAATGGGAGGGAAGTCAAGTGATTCCAAAATTGGGGCTAAAGACTAAAACTCAAGACAAATTATTTAATAAAGGGTGAGAGAGCAGGTAGTGATGGGCGCGTACTGTTCGACACCCTGGGGACGAGGTTGTGACCTCATTCAGCGACTAGTCAATTTCAAATTGACTGAACATCCATGACTGCTGACACTGGCTGAACCGTCTGTCAAAATACGAAAAAATATCCCCTAGTATTTGTCGTATTTTGACGAACGGTTCTTCTTTTTCACTGCAATAAACACATCTATAACATCAGGAGTATTACTAGTATTATTGGTTTCCCGCCCAACTTCTAGTATAAGTAACACTCTTCCATTGGAAAATTTAGAACTTTTTGGAAAGAAAAAACTCACGTTTTATTTTCCGCGTCTTTTTTATGTTAAAAACATCAACAGAGGGCGCTCTTACTTTTTTGGACGGGTTCGGCTATTTTTCCTCTTTCAATATAATTTGTACTCAGCGCAAAAGAAACCTTGGGAATTTCAATTCATTGAACTAAATTTCCCAAATAATAAATATAAAACTTATTATTTAATTTAAAACAAAATTATCAAATTCCTTAAGTATTATTTAAAGAGATATTAAATTAAATAGCATAATAAAATGTAAAAGTATTGTTCGTCAGAATCCACGTGACTTTTGGCCAATCGGCTTCGTTTAAAAAGTCCGCCATCTTGACTTGTACTGTGAGTGGGGAAGAAGAAATTCGCGCGCTTTACCGGATTTAATTTACACGATTTTACCTTTTTCTGCCGTTGTCCCGTGTTCCGTGGTTGTTCTCCGTATTCCAGAGAAGCCATGGAAAGCACGGGTGGCGGTAAGATGCGCCAAAAACGGTCGCACGGGGCCAGCAAACCCTATCAACGTACCCGACCGAAGGTGAGTTTTCGGAAATCCCACATGTCGTATTCAAATGCGTGCAAGGTGTGCAGCGCGCGCAGTCAACTCGTTATCAACTCGAGGGACACGGCTGTCGCCGTTACGAATAACGTGAAACAACTTGTCTGCACGTTACCTTTAATTATCCGTGGATTCAGTGTTGTTACTTTTTTATGTTAGTACAGCTCCCACCTCTTATTTAACTTCTACATTTTTAGGCCAATGATTTATCTTGACTGTCATGACTGTTTAATTTAGCAAAACGGAATTGAATACAGTGAATTTTACCCCTTCATGCCCTTCTTTATTCGATGTTTAACTTGGATGAGGCACTCAGGCAGTGTGTCTGTCATGTCTGTGTGATCGGCGATCGTGTAAGGCCCCTGTTTTGTTTCGATCAGATGAGAGTCAACATGGTCAAGATTGCTTTCTATTTCTAAATAATGACATTTTCAACCTAGACTTCTCTCAATATAAATTATAATGACACCTTTTCGTAATTTTTGGTTATTTGAACAGTTTCTTGGTATAGAAATAATGATTTTCCTGTGCTCCTTGCATGCTCATGGTACATCGCGCGGTATCATCATCTTTATTTTCGTGTTGTGTTTTGTAGTTATCATCATTTTACCCCCAAATTTCCCTCAAAAATTCAAAACCCTGCCCTTTATCTATGAGTATGACATACCTGTTTGTTCTTAATTAATGTTGCCAACTAATTTGGTAGGTCAAATAATTTAAAAGTGGATTTTGTTCCCTAAAACTACCGGGCCCATAGATACACGATCACCATGTGGTCTAAGTTTGGAGGGGATAGACCCGTGAAGGTGGCATCAATAACAACGCCAAGCGTACCTGTGTAATAAAAACCTTTGATGTGTTGAAAATGTTCTACATGAACTGTAGTCCTATTATTTTTATTATTAAGTACTTACACGTCAAGAATACAGTGAATATTCCAATTGGCATAACAGTCGGCATTCCAAATAAGTTCAACTTTTTGGAGAGACAATTATGGAGGCGGTTCTGAACTTTTGCTACTTTTACCGTGCTACAAGATCGATTAATTATGCAAGACTCGGAGGCAAATGAGTGGACTGGAAAAAGGCAGTTCCTGGACCGGAAGGATCAGCTTTTTAACATTTGACTGACTGACTCCCCGACTGACGACTCCCTGACTGACTGTTCCCTGACTGACTGTCAAATGCCTTGAACTGAGACTTTTGGGACCATCCCGACTCGGCAAAACCGGTCTTTTTTTTAAAACCCTAACCTTCCCAAATCCTCCACAATCTTCTTTGCAAAGTGAAGGATTTTACAGAATTGAAGCTAAAGTGGCCAAAGTGTGGCTGATATTGGAAGCTGCACTGTGGCAGGCTCTTAGGCCGGATCTTGTGTTATTTATGCTCAGCTGTGCATCAATTTAGGTTTTTATTGTACTTGAAATCCCCCGCAACTGCTCCAGGATGTCACTGGCTCTGCCTCAACATATCGACAATGATTGTTGAAGGATTTTACAGGATTGAGGCAGTGGTCACCCCTCCAAGGATCACATTCAAGAAATAACGGAGGATTGTTTTCAGGATTGAGGTTACGGCCTAACAAAACTGCATAGGGAGTTAGGGTCAAGTAAGAGAGTTCTCTCCTGATATCATGTACCAGGCTACCAGTACATTTTCAATTGATCAAAAAGAGATAGGGATTGATAAAATGTGACACAAACCCAGTCATTTTTATTTTGAATGAAGTATATATATCATTATGCTAATCAATGAGATAATTGAGGCCAAGCTCCATTTGTCCTATGCTTAGTTACCCGAGGTGAATATTTTATGCAAATGTTATGAAATGTATACATATCGAATTTCCCACCTCCCTTCCCTGCCTCCACCCCATCCCACGACCCCTCCCCTCACCCCTTCCCAAAAACCTCCCCCCCCCCCAAAAAAAAAATGACACTTTTTTTCAGTACGATTAAGCAAAAGAGAAAACCAGTCAAGGGCCTAGCATTCTAGTTGAAGTTTGATGAAAGAATTTCAAAGTTTGTTACGAGTGAGTTTTGTCCTCTTTGCAGTCGTTCCTCGATAAGGTGAAGGATCTTGTTACACCCTCCTGGCTGTCAAGCATGTGGAGCAGCGGTACCAGAGATGAACCCCCACCTCAAGCCTCTAGCGCCAGAGCTCCGACCTCATCAGCAAACTCTATCCCCCCTAGGGGGTCAATCACGGACAGTCAGTACCCTGGCCTGACGGAGGCCGAGTCTGCTCCGGGACCCTCGGTCAGACCTACCCAAGCAGGGAGGTTTGCGGGGCAAGGGGAGGGGCAACTAAACACGCCCATTCTGGGGTCTTTTGGGGGGCTGTCAGTTCCCGTCAGTACGTCGACGCCGATCGATGTGGATGAGGAGGTGATTGAAATTGATTCTGGAGAGGGCCCATCAACCCAGAAAGGTATCAAACGGTTCTTTATCTTCTCATTTGTAAATCCCAAATAACATAGCTCCTCAAATCTTAGAACATTCCGCTAGTAAAGCTTCATGCTCCTATTGAGTTGGGAGCAGAATATTGTCTATGATTTTACAAAGTGTCTCCGGAACTGACTGTTCTTTCAGGGAAAATTTGGACTTTGTTTTGTGACCAACGAGAATGCCCTGTGTTGGAAATTAAAGAATACCAAAAAGAAGAGGAGTAATCACCACGTGAATTCCTCAAACGGGAAAATTTGCATATTTAAGGTTTCAATTTATAAACTGTCACATGTCAAAACTTCTATCCTTCATTGATAAAATAACAGTAGATGATCCGTCGGAGTTTTCCGCTCCCCCGAGTGTTGTATCATCTCTCTACCCTAACCTGGACAAGTTGGAGCACCAGCAGAAACTGTCGGAATCCAATCTGGATCTCCTGTCAGGTAAAGAAAAATCAGGTGTCCGATTTGTGAATAACCCTCCTACTTTTTCATCTGTCAAATTTCCCCCCCAAAAAAACCTGTTAACTTGTGGGGAATACCCTAACCCCCTAGTACTTCCCCATGACTACCCTGCTAAATCCAACAGAGTCCAACCGGACTTTCCTGTTCAATCCACTGTGCCTCATTTTCAGTTGTCTAACGAATCCAACGGAGTCCAACATGGCGTTGTAATGCAGTTCAGTTGCCTGCTGAATCCAACATATTGCAATCAGGAATGTACACCTGGGGTTTACTGCTCAATCAAACAGGCTCCTTCGGGTATATGATATACATGTAGTTCGAACATGTTGGATTCAGCAGGGTTAGGATTTTAAAGTCTCACCCCCCCCCCTTTAGTTTTTCAGTGATTGTAATTTGAAACAGGTCTTTAGCGGTGAAGAAAACAACTTTGAATTTGTTATATTTTGCAGAAATGGGTCATAGACGTTCACCGATGCCCTCCTCAGGTCTGTGGTCCACCACGCCGTCCAGTCGGTCAGTAACAACTCGGGCCAGGCCAGCCTCTCCGTTCAGTAGGCCTCAGCAACCTGCGATCAGCACGCGCAGGCCGGCGTTCAATACCAGTTACTTCGGCACGCCGAGAGGGGTAAGTCACTTGCTTATCACTACAATTACAAATTTTGGTCATTTAAAAAATGGAAAAAGCTACTGTAAGATAAGATTTCTGCGATGAAATCAGGAATTGTGAGTCGTGCTCAGGTAGTACGCACGCACTTTGGGCTCCTCGGACCAATAGGAATACCAACATGCGTGCGTGTGTTATCTTTAAGAACGCTTGCATCGTGCGCGTGAGCACGACACCACCGCAGTAACTTTTAATTTTGTTCGCCGAATTCCACTATAGTTGTGCACGGAGCCCAAAATAGCTTGGCTCTAGAGTCTCTAGTTTACCAAAAGGCAAAACAAAGCAGAATATGGTCCAATTTGAGTTGTTTTGTTGACAGCAATTTTCATCTCTAGGTTTTTTTCTTCCTTCATCAGAGTTTGAGAACGTCATCGGTAATGGAGTCAACGACCTCATCTCCCTTCTACCCAGGGAAGACAACATATGGTGGGGCGTCTGCACAGCGGTCGACAGCCGCCATGAAAAGGTCACGATCGTCTCCTTATGAGGTAGGCCTCAAAGGTTACATAATGATCTCTCACATGTAATTTTCCGCAGAGGTAACAAACAAATCAGCCTCTGGGACAGGTTCGATTGCTTGAATCTGAATCTAGGTCTTGTGCCTAGAATCAACACCGCGGTGTAGAAATGCACACTATACCTGCACCTGCCTATATTTGTACTTGGGGGAAATAATAAAGATGTTCTGATCATTTCGGTCTGCAAGAATTATCTCAATTCAATCAATGTTTGAAAGAAGAAAAACAAGTATCCTTGCCGAGTGGAGTTGGTCCCAAAAGTCTCAGTTCAAGACATTTGACAGTCAATCAGTCAGGGAAGACGACATATGGTGGGGCGTCTGCACAGCGGTCGACGGCTGCCGTGAAAAGGTCACGATCGTCTCCTTATGAGGTAGGCCTCAAAGGTTACATAATGATCTCTCACATGTAATTTTCCGCAGACGTAACAAACAAATCAGCTTCTGGGCAGGTTCGATTGCTTGAATCTGAAGCTAGGTCTTATGCCACGGTGAATCAAAACCACAGCGTAGAAATGCATACAATACCTGTACCTGCCTATATTTATACTTCGGGGAAATAATAAAGATGTTCTGATCATTTTGGTCTGCAAGAATTATCTCAATTCAATCAATGTTTGAAAGAAGAAAAAAAAACTAGCCTTGCCGAGTGGAGTTGGTCCCAAAAGTCTCAGTTCAGGACATTTGACAGTTGATCAGTCAGTCACTCAATCAGTCCGATGTCAATAAGCTGGCCCTTTGGGTCCGGGCACTTTTCCCTTATACTCAAGTTTTTTTTCTAAGCGTTGACTTATTTTCCGTCTTTTCTCTGTGCCAGGTTCACCTCCCCATCAAGCGCTCCGTCCGTCCCAGGCTGGCTAAGCCGACAGACGAGGGCGACATGGGAATCACAAGCAATACAGCCAAGAGGATCCTAGACACTCTGGAGAAGATGTCCACTCCGCTCTCAGACGCGAAGAGGATACCTCTCTCGCCGTCTGTAACTCCACTGGCTTTTACGGTGAGTTGGTCAACCTTTCTTGCCCGTAACCCTCTTCCCCTTCACCCGTTACCTATCCCCAATCATGTGGAGTGCAGTGGCTTCGTTGTCTGGAGCGTTGAATTTGTGGTCTGCTGGTAATTCTGCAGGTTGTGGGTTCGAGTCAAGTCTGGGATTAAATAAAGATAGTTTGTTTGTGGCTCGGCCAATTTTTTAAATTTTTTATATTTTTTTAGGAATCCTTGTTTTCATTACCAAAGACTTGATGTAATCCCAGATCCCAAGGAACATCAGCAAGCTTGATTTTAAGCTTTAGGTGCAACTTATCTAGACTGTTATCAGACTGTTTTTATGCTGGTAGTGCTTCTCCAAATTGTTTTTGTTTTTCTTAAGTTATTTTGTGTGTGTGTTTAAGTTATCACTGGTTGTGTTCAGTGTTACCAGCATTGTCTAATATCTTGATAAGAACTGAAAAGTCAGTCACATTTGCTTTTCTTCAGGTTGCATTGTTCATGAGGTAAATTTGAAAGTGGTAAAAATTTATATTATTTATTTTTACTAATTTTCAAATAATAACCATAAATTTGTATAAGAATTTGTATACATGTACAAAAATTGAGACTTCAAATGCTTTGCTGAGGCAGTTCTGTCGTATCAAACCTTCAAAACCAAGCCATTGATTTTGCCCAACTTTGGGTAGTCGGTTCAACCCTAACGTTCTGCCATTACTTTGGGATAAAGAACGGAGTGTTTCAGAAAACTACAACAATTATGTATGCAGGCACCAAATACCAGAAAATACTATGAGTGCTGTGCCCACTTATATGCTGAAGTGCTGCATTCTACAGTTTACTACCAGTAGTATTTTGTAGCTTTTGGTGAGGTTAGGGTTAATACATTGTAATCTAAAATTCGGCTTTCTACCAACAGGCAAGTAGAGCGCCCAAGCTTAGAGGGCCATCCTCCCCACATCGACCCCTCGGGCTAGGCTCCAAGGGGGGCGTCAGGATACCCGGGCCCCCCGTCTCTGGGTTGAGTATACCCCACACTGTCAGCATAGCGCCCAACAGACAGCCCCCTATACCCACCACCGCTACCACCACCACCACCAGGGAAGGGCAAGAAACCGTGGGGACGGACACTGTGACCAGCAGGGCAAGAAGTACGCTGCCGTCGGCCACAACAAGTATTGGGTTCTCCTTTGGGTGAGTTGGCCGTGACGTCATGATTGTGCTTCCGGCGGCCCTTTGATGGCAAAACAATCCAACTCGAAAATCTGAGGTTTTTTTTAGATCGCACTACTTCTGAGCATAATGAGGGCGCTCTTTATGTTTCTGAAAGTTATAAAGCCATTGGATGTATGGTTTTGAAGAACTTTTGACCTATCTCACACTCTTTTTTTTTGAAATTTTACCTCAGTTTTTGATGGCAAAACAATCTATCTTTGAGTTAGGTCATGCAAGTGTCTTTGGTTTTTATGGCAAAACGGCCGTACTGTCACTTCAATGACAGCTAGCTTGAAGATAGGCTGTTTTGCCAACAAAAATAATTTAAGGAAGACAGCTTTATTTTTATGTGAGCTATGAGTTACGCTCGTAACATTAAGTCCAACTTCAGATAGACTTTTATTATACCAACAAAGCATGGGAGTTAATTACTTGTAATATTTTGCATAACTATTTTCAATTTATTACGCACCTGCTCAGACATGTATATGTATTTCCAATTTTGTCTGGAACATTCTAAGCATTCCGAGTTCTGAGACATCCTAACCGTTCGTCTATTTTGTTGTCATTTGCATAGGCAAAGTGCCCCAGCCTTTACCACCTTACCCCCACCACCCATCGCCAGAATTGAGACTCCTCCCAGTCAGACTGCTCCCCTCCAGCGGTCAAGCAGTGGTGGAAAGATGAAACAGAAACGAAACAGCAGCCACTACAGCGCAAACAAAGAAGACAAAGATGACGATGTGGTGAGGAGATAAAACCGTATTCCCCTAAAACTACCAAATTTAACCCTGAAATTTGTTTGAGTCATTGAGCTTTACGTCAGAGGGTTAAGTGTAAAAGTTAAGAGTGATTTGTGTCAGCGTGATGATGCGGAATAAAAAACAAATTATTGTCATACTGTTGAGCGTTTTCAGTAGAGAGTTAAGTATGTGAGCTTTGTCTTGAGAAAAAAAATATGTTCTCAAGACAAAAAGTAAAAGTGGCTTGAAACAGTGTGAGTTGGTAAATTTCCAATTTAAACTAAAAATCTGCATCTGTAAAAAAAAAAGTGTAATTTTCATCCACATGTATTGTCTGCCTTCCTTTGTTTAGGTGGAAGTCATAGACCTTCCCAACATCCCCCTCCCCCTCAAAACCCTCCCCTCCTTCAGCTTCGGCAAACCCCTGGAGCCGCCCAAATCAACAGCGCCCTCTACGTCGACGTCAGTAGCGGCGCCGCCAAGCACCGGTCGGGGTTTTAGGTTCGCGACCTCCACACCAGCCGTCGCCGCGACGGTCCCGGCTGCCAAGATGGACAGCAACCACGAATTCACCTTTGCCTCGCCCATCCTAAGGCAGACGGCATCGACGATATCAGCACCTGAATTCGAGACTGCTGAGGTAAGCCAGTAAGGACTAGCTGTTACAGTGCCCAGTCATCGCTACTTCAGTCTTGAATCAAGACCAGTATGGTGGCGCATTGTTCAGTATGCCTGAAACGGACAGCAATGACTACGAATCTGGTTACTTATCAATTTGCAACAATTTTGATGCCGACATTGTGCCAGCGTTGTGTCCTATTTCTCTGCTAAGAACTTAATCTTGAACCACCACTATCGCAATGCTAACCTGCTGAGACAAATGAAAAGCCAATGCAAACTGCTTGCACTAGACTGGCCTAGAAGAAACTCGTTGTAAAACTAGGAGGACTTTTCTTTCTCAATCGTCAAGACGTTTTTTGCGTTGTCAGTATCAAAATTCAGACCCTCAATTTGTTTTGCCATCTTCAATGCCGAGGCATTCATGTTTTTTTGCATCCGTTCAATTTCCAGTTCCCACCTCAGGCTTTCACGTTCAGCCTTCCTAAGAAACCCGACGTGTCGCCCAGCGTGGCTTCCTCCAAGCCGCTGAACTTCAACAACCCGTCTTCCAGCAGCAGCAACAAGAGCAGCAGCCTTGCAGCTGCGTCAGCTCCCTCCTTCGGGGCAAGCAACACCGTCAAGTCTCCAAGCAAGGAGGAGAGCCAAGAGGAAGAAGAAGAAGAAGAGCAAGGGTTTGGGATCAAGCCGGCAAAGACGTTGAAGTCTGGAAGCTGTCTGGAAGTCTTTGGAATCGGTAATTCATCGTAGAGATTGTTTGCTCTGTGTGGTTTTTTAAATCAAGAAAAGAACCTTTACACAAAATTGTTGTGGGATTAGTTTTTTTTGTGGCTATTTATCACTTTTAGTTTTGGTATTGATCACTTTGTGTCTGGATCAAGTTAGTTTTAGGATTGATAACTTTGGTTATCAATCATTTTTTCTATCAATACCTTTGGCAATTGATCACTTTTAATTTATAGCATTGATCACTCTTTGAGGTTCAAAGATTGCAATCCCACATTCAAAAATGCATAGAAGTTCAGCAGAATAATGCTTTCCTGTTTGATTTTTTTTTAAAGTTGCGCCCACAGAGCCAGCCGCGACGACGGCGCCAGTTACGACCTCGGCCTCCGTCAACGACCTGTTTGGGAAGTTCAAATCGCAGCCCGACGCCTGGAGTTGCGACACGTGCCTCCTCCAAAACAAAGCTGAAGACAGTGCCTGCGTGGCTTGCCAGAGCCCCAGACCCGCACCAGCAGCCAAGAGCAACGTTACCACAGAGAGTGGGGACAATACGACCGTCCCAACCAGTGACTTACTGGCCAAGGTGACACCACCGGCGGGTACATGGACTTGCTCCGTTTGCTTGCTCCAGAACAAAAGTGACGCCGACAAATGTGTAGCATGCGAGAGCCCCAACCCTGCGGAGAAGCAAAAATCGGCACCGCTGAACAATTCCTTGCTGGACAAGTTCAGACCGCCCCCTGGCGGTTGGACCTGCGATGCGTGTCTAGTACAGAACAAAGCGGATGCTGACAAGTGTATATCCTGCACCACGCCCAAACCAAATGCCGGTGGTTCGAACCCAACCCCCTTCGGTAACACCTTAACGAACTCGACCCCCAAGGGTGGATTTGGGAGTAAAATGGACACTGCCGATAGCAGAGACACAAACTCGAAAACAGATAATTTCATGGACAAGTTTAAATCGCCGTTGGTCTCGTGGAGTTGTGACACCTGTTTGGTACAGAATAAAGAGTCTGCTGACAGGTGTATAGCGTGCGAAACACCAAAGCCGGGAAGTCAACCGTCACTCAAAACGCCTCCAGGTATGTTCTTAATATCCTCCATCATTATTGTGAGTTAAGAGTTTAGAGTTTAGAGTTTTGGATACTTAATAGGCAGAATGGGCACAAGAGATCCACAGATCTTGGGCTGACCTCGACCCCTTCTGGAGCCCTCAGAATTCACTGGAAAGTTTTGGGAAATGTTGAAGGATAAGGAGGGTAAAGTCAAGCAAAACATAAATTCCCCATTAAATTTAGAGTAGATAATTTGCAGCTATCCAAAAAGTAAATGAACGACGATAATGGCACTAAACTCACTGTGAAATTATTCCTTCTGGTAATGCTGTTATTTTGAAGAAAAAAATAAATAGTGATTTCCAAAGATGAGTCAATGGACACATTTTTGGAAATTTCCGTTGGTAGTTTGTTTGTAATTGGGCGAATCCTTGAATGGGTGAACTCAAGCATTGATACGATGCACGCGCATGCGCGATTGCTATTATTTGTCAGTTCAGTGCGTGACATCGGGTAGCTGCAAATGGCTGAAGAAGAACATGTTCCGGATGCTGATTTCGGGCACAATTCAAATATGACCCAGCTAGTTTTGATTTGATCCTAGAATATTTTTTTCTCGGAATGTACAGCATTCACAGAGCTAAAACTTCATCATGTCAGTTGTTATGCACCTGTCTTTAGATTCTGAGCACCTTTGTTGCTTCAAATGAAACAAATGCAGGAGTGACAAATGATCTAGCCCACCTTTAAAAGTACAAATCATAGTGTCTTGCGTTCCGGAGGACTTGCAACGATTCCCAGCCAAGAAGGCCGAGGCAGTTGCCTAAAATGAAGTCTTTCTTTCTGTTAACAGCTTCAGCATTTAAATTTGGCAGCCAGTCCACAACTCCAAGTTCCGGCGCCAAATTAGATGGTATTACGTTTGGCGGTACTAGCAATGACAGTTCCTTCAAGTTCTCCACGAGCAAGTTCACGGCACCCACGAGCGGCGGGTTCAGCTTCGGAGCTCCCAACAAGACGTCGACGAGCTCTGAGAGTGGCGGGATCCAGTTTGGTTTGCCAAAGAACGGCTCTGCCACCGGCTTCAGAATTGGTTCAAACGCGGACTCTGAGACGAAGACAAACTCACTAACGGCAGCTGATGGCGTACAATTTGGCTCGGACACATCCAGCAAAGCAGATGGCGGGTTTAAATTTGGGGCGCCGGCCGTCACGTCTACTGAATCTAAGCAGGACAAGCCGGCAATCAGTTCTGGTTTCTCATTTGGTGCCCCCTCGACGACGAAATCAGACTCCGTCCCACCAAATGCGGACCCGTTTAAAGACACAGTCCCAAGCACAACCAGCTTTGGCTCAGGGGGTTTAGGTGCAAACGCCGTCACTACAAGCACTCAGGAGACGGACTCTAAAGCAGAGCAGAAACAAGGCTTTATGTTTGGCTCCAGCAAGGACGATACCAAGGTGAATTTTGGCAGCTCAGTCACGGAACAAAGCACTTTTTCATTTGGAGGTAAGGCACCAACAGAGAGTGCCCCTAAACCAACGACGTTTCAATTCAGTGCTAGCGCCAACCCCCCTGCATCGACTGCCCAGCAGGCTGCGGACAAACCAGCGTTTAACTTTGGTGCCACGCCATCAGCTCCTGAAGACGCACCCAAGGTTGTGAGTGTCAGTTCTGGATTTAGTTTTGGCGGATCTGCCGTAAACGCCGTCGACACAGCGCAGCAACAGCCTCACCTGAACAGCGTGGCTCCGACCTTCCAATTTGGCAAGAGCAGTGCGGGAACCGATGAAGCGGGCACCGGTCAGCCACCTCTCAAGAAAGGCGTGACGTTTGCCTCTCCCATCGAGCAGGAAACGGCTTCAGGGCTCAATCCTTCCTTCGGTTTTGGAGGAGCACCAAGTCAGGCCGCAACACAGGGTTCTCCTTTTATGTTTGGAGCAACTGACAACAAAGGTATTGATTGTTCTATCCCAAACTTCTCCGTAACAGAACTCAACCCATCAAATCCCAACAGCATGTTTTGTTGGAATCTGTCAGGACGGGTACAGTACCCCTAAACTGACAGTCTTTTACATTGGGTTGGCACACCTCCAGAATCGAAGTCAGAAATATGTGTGTCCAGTTTCCCAATTGGTGTTGGAATTCGCCAGGATGGTTATGGTTCCTAGTAAATCATGCTAGGGAGTTAGGTTTTAATGTGATAAGAGGCTTTACTTTGTGAGACTATAGCGCAGTTGAGCTGGAACTCTCCAGTGAATGGCCTTGTGCTAAAAAAAAAACCAGGAATATTTTCTTTTGAGAGCTATCCAAGTAACTGACAGCTTCAGCAACCATTCGATCCATTCTGGACACAGTCCCCACACTTTTCTTGGGTTAGTGAAATCTGTTGGTCAAACTCTCTTTGGATTTCAGCATGTAAACTGGCTGATTAGTAGCTGCAGTTTTGAAAGTCTTTTAACATTTTTGTTTTTGTTTTTGACAGTTGACGCACCATCCAAACCCAATGGTGGTATCACGTTTGGAACACCAATCCAGAGCACTGCACCGACACAATCTGCAGAGCCATTCACATTCGGAGCCGGTAAGCACTAGCACTGATAGTGATAGTTTCTCTGATGATAACAAGTCGTCGTAAGGAAAGAGAATTAGCCATGAGAAACCGAACGATACTTTGGCCTCTCAAACTTATTTGTTTACTAAATAAGTCTCTAGAGTTGTCAAGTCCTTGCAACTAATAGTCACAAGACATCCAGTCCGAGTCAAGTCACAAGCTATTCCTACGAACCATGACAAAGGCATTCTTTTTGTAATCGTTCACCTCCTTTACTTATGACAGGATTGTGATTGGCTTGTGATTTGCTTATGATGGCCTTGTGATGGCCTTGTGATGGCCTTGTGATTGGTTTGTGATTGGCTTGTGATGGCCTTGTCATGGTCGTGATGGTGTTGTGATGGCCTCATGATGGGCTTATGATGGCCTTGTGATTGGCTTGTGATGGGCTTATGATGACCTTGTGATTGGCTTGTGATGGGCTTATGGTTGGCTTGTGCTGGCTTGTGATGGACTTGTGCTGGCCTTGTGATGGGATTGTGATCGGCACAGCTTCAGCTTGCCCCACTCTTATTTGTGATTACGTGATTTTGTCATTAAAGTTGTAATCCGTGAAATATTTTTAACTTCTGTTCAGTAACCAATAACAGCAAACCCGGAGGCTTCAATTTTGCAGCATCCACCAATCAGAGCCCAGCCCCTGCGTCAGGTGGTTTTAAGTTTGGCGCCGCAGCAGCATCGACGGCAGCCACGCCTACACGACAGAACCCACCCGCATATGGAGGTAGGGGCATCAACAGATTAACTTAAGATTGACAAGACATACAGAAAAGCACATTAAAAAATTGACAAAATTTTCAATTTATTAAAAAATCACATTTAGAAATCTTGTTGAATAACCGACTTTTACTTAGCAAAGGCAGGTTACCAGCCAAGTTGTTATGCACTGTGTATCAATTGTCACTGGTTCTCTGCAGATTTTTGCCGAGTACCCAATTTCGCTAAGCATTGGTTCTGGCCGCTTGTGACTGCTACGGGCATTTCAGCTGTGAACACATCCGTGGCCACCAAAACTTTTCTTTGCTTTTTTACATTTTAAGTAAAAAGGTATCATATCCTTTGTTTTCTTCAGGGTTCGGCAGCACCACGTCCACCTCCAACACCTTTGCTTCGGGTTTCGGTAGCCAACCGGCCACCAATTCTACCCCCAACATGTTTGTCGGCCAGCAGCCAGCCCAAGCCACTGCCCCAGCGTTCGGGGCTCAGACTGCTGCCGGCGTCTTCGGAAGCACGGCCGCTGCTCCTGCCTTCGGTGCCGCAGCGTCCACAGGGGGTTTGCAATCTTCGACGCCGACGTTTGGCGCGGGGGCAACCGGTGCTGCCCCTGGGTTCGGGAACTCTGCTCCGAGCTTCGGCGCCGGGGCAACAAATTCAGGAATCGGTAAGCACTTTGTCAGCACGTGAATAAACGAGGGGACTGTCTGGGGTAACCTGTGGTCAGTGTTTGGTGGAAATTTCAGGAATATGTTCTCTCTAGCAGCTCTTTGAACGGGGCTTTTCTTCTCATCTTGTGCCAGTTTTGACTCGCCCATTTTAAAATTCCCCCGTTCCAGGTTTTCAGCCAGAGCCAGCCGCGTCGACCTTCAACTTCGGCGCCAGCAATCCCGCTTCTGGCACCACGCCGGGAGTGTTTGCCTTCGGAGCCAACAACTCCCAGAATGCGACCGCCGTAGCGGCGGCACCTCAAGCTGCGTCTACCGGAGGGTTCAACTTCGCACAGCAGGCGTCGGGATTCGGTATGCAAGGCGGTGCCCAGAATGCTACAGGGGCTCCAGCGTCTGGAGTTTTCCAGTTTGGGTAAGAGAAACCCGGAATTACTATTATATAGCTTGCTTGGTGTATTTTACATGGTGAGTAAAAAAAAAATGATTCACACACATTCCCATGTGATTTGTTTTCGTTTTGCTGAAAGAACACTTCCCTTTTTGTAATCCGTGGACAGAACTTTAAAATGGTGGTTGTGTGTTTAAAATTCTGTAACTTGAAAGGTACATGGATGAGTTGAATTATGGTTGTACTAAAAGAAAGCTTATGAATTTGGCTTTCATATCCTAGATTTTGAAAGTGCTACATGCAGAACTTCACTAAAACAATAGTCCCGACATTTGGTGTGAGTTTTTTTTTTTTTTTTTAACTCACCCTGTATTGTAAACTAATGTTTATTACACAAACTGCATTGGCGTTCATTGCACCGGTGCAGACCTAACACTTTCAAAATGCCAACAGGTCATGTTGTAATTATTTGTCCTTTCTTTCTTGTGTGACAGGGCTAACCAATCGCAAACGCAAGCTTCGTTCAATTTAGGCGTTGGCGCAGCGCCAGGTACCGGACAGCGCAAGATCCGTAAAGCAGTTCGAAGGACGAGGAAGACATAATGGCCCTGTCGATCGCAACTTACCCCCTCTCCTTTAGGTAAAGTTTTGACTTCCTCGATTGCATTTCTCTTATTGGTGGTATTGTGTAGATGGTTTCCCTTTTTATTTAACTGACTGACAAGCCGGTTTGTCTCAGATAATCTTATATAAGTGTCCTCCTAAAGTCGCAACTGCAAGTGTTTTTTATGTGACCATCAAATTTGTATACGGACAGACATTTTTGATGAATTACATCAACCCAAACTTGCAAGAAATCAGGATTCCCACGGTCATGGAAACTCCTGGAAAAAAAAAGTTGTCCTGGAAAGTCATGAAAAAGTCATCGAAAATTGGGGAAAAAAATTAAAAAGTCATGGAAAAGTAATGGCAATCAAGATCATGTAAGGGTTATTTTTGATGGGCCGCTTGAAGGATGGCTGTAAGGGGAGGAGGAGGCCATTATTAATTAAAACGTATTTTCAAAAGCTAACAATTGGTTAGCCGAACATCAGTGGTTCATCAGTATTGTAATACCAAACAACTTTTCTCTGCAAAATGGCGTTAAATGTCATGGAAATTGTCATATTTAATTCATGGAATTTGGTTTTCAGATTTTTGTGGGAACCCTGGAAATATTTCCAAGGTACCTTCCTTGAATCCTGCAAAATCCACCAAAATCATCCAAATCCATCAAACTCCGCCAAAATCACAAAAATCCAGCAAAATCACCAAAAATTCATCAAACTCACTAAAATCCATTACTGTGCAGAACGCTGTGGTAAAATGTACTCGCCAGAGGTATCAAGTCATATGGGAAGAAAAATCTGAAAAAGCTTGTAGAAATGGTATCTGAAGGTTTATGTACCACCACCCCCCCCCCCCCCCCCCCCATCCAATTTTGGTTTGTTCAACCATACATTTCTTTCCAATGGAATTTTCAAGCTGCAAATCCTTATAGCAGTCGAAATAATGTGTCTGTTTTTTTTTTTATTGCCATTTCATTCTGATTACCAAGTCGTTTATAGACTTCAATCTCTCACTCTTTACTTTTTTTTAGGAGGGGGGGGGGGGTTGACAATTCTTGAAACGGGAACTTAAATGCACTTAAAAGAATAAGCTGGAATTTTGAAGTAATATGAAAAAACAAAAAAAAACAAAGATGACAACAAAAAATCAGAGTACAGCACTGGGCTTGTCTGATTTACACCTTAATGTAAATGAACCATGGCTGCAATGGCATTTGTGCAGAAATGGCCATAGGCTGTTCAGAAAATTGTCAAGTTTGTGTTCTTGTTTTGGTTAATTTGTCATTGTGTGCATTTTATTGGCCAGTCATTCACAATACAATGGTTATGTATTTCTGTGCATGTTGTTTTATTTTGCTGGATTTGTCAGAATTTTAATTCTACTCGTGGAGTGTCGATGGAGAAATCTGTAAATAGTGTATGATGCAATGTCTGTTGGTTGTTTGTTTGTATTTTATTTGGTTTTTGTTTGTCTGTTGGTTGGTCTCGGTGCTGAGAGTTCACTTTCAGTAATAGTTGAGGGAATGTCATAAATCTTGCTGAGGTCACAAAAAAAAATATGTTTTCTGTAAAACAAACTGAAGTCTTGAGTCTTTTTTTTTTCCTAAAATTATTTTAGTCATTTTGTTTGTATACAAAAGTTTGGTCATTTATGTTTTGTATGCCCTTAATTCAAACCCTTCCCAGAAAATCAATATTCTCAAGTATAACATCGTTCAGGTGCGATTAGTTTTTTGTACGACCTTGGTGATTTTCATTCTTTATTTCTCACAGTAAATGGCATTCAAAGAGTAAAAAAAAACAAAAAAAAACAATTTCTGGTTCTCATTCGTACAGAGTTTCTTTAGATCCAATTTTCAACTTTTTCAATCGATGAAATTGCCCCAATTTTAAAACTGCAAAAAAAAAAAAAGAATTGCTGTTAAAATTTTATACCATTACATGTCACTATAATTATGCGTTCATGCTATATAATCCTTTTTCAGGAAACACAAATGTTATTTGCATGTATCTAGACAAAATTTTGTACTTCAGCATGTAAAAAAACACCCAATTTTCTAAATCATTGAAAATTATCCACTCCAAAAGGTATCACTGTATTACTTTCTGTTAAGAGAAATGACAGATTTGAACAGACTAATAAAAAACTGTTTCTAACTTTGGAGTTAGGAAGAATACAATCAAATGAAACTTGTTTGGTAGCTGCAAACCTAGCTTGCTGCTAATTTCCCACCTTAAAAAATTAGTAATGCTACTTACAATATCAAACCAAAAAAATAATACTTTTTTTGACTGCCACTTATCAATAGAGGGCGCTGTTGCTCAAAGTGAACATCTCTGGTGAAGCTTTAGTGATAATTTTTTGAAATTTGATTATACTTCTCAAGTTCTCACTGCCATCATGTAGATCCTTAAGTTATGGAATGAATGTTAAAAAAAAATTGCATAGATAGGATGAAAATAACTATAAAAAAAGTAAGCAAGACCCAAAACAATATGCAAATTTTTAAGTGTAATGAAACTTAAAAAAAAGTTAATAACTGAGATATGTTTATTCACTAGAAATGGTAGAAATTAGACAAAGGACGGTTTTATACTTTGTATACAGGGTCTTTGATTGGGAGTTCCTCTAAGATTAAGTATTTGTTCTTGTATATTTGTTGCTCAGTACCATTCAATACAGCTTTGGGTTACTTCTGGACATAGTCGAACCCAGATCTTGTTTTAAACTCACTCCAGAACGCTGTCACCCCGCCCTGAAGTTCCAACTTCCAACGTCGGTTTGAAAGTTGTAGACATTTACATGTATATTTATGATGAAAAAAGAAAATCAAGAGTTTGATCCTTCAAAGGAAAAACTCTGCCCAGTCCCAAATCTGTGCTGTTTGACTTTTTGGATGAAAACAGCTGTTTTCAAACTCTGTGAAACAATCTAATACTTAAAAAATTATGGTTTGTTTTGAAGTCAACACAGATTATCAACAATGATCTGCAAATCCTGCAAAAAGTTGGGGGTTTTTTCTTCTGATAATTAGCTTTTGACAAAATTTGTAACTTTTTGTGCCAATTGTGTCAAGCCTTTTGAAATTAGGAAAAAATAAATGTCTCATTTGTTATTGTATTTTTAGTTGATGATAGTTTATTTTGGAAGGATTTGAACCCGAGGTGTTATTTTTTTTTTGGGGGGGGGGGTGTGTTTTTTTTCATGTCTTTTGTTTTAATGTTCACAGGCATTAATTGTAAAAATCTTGTGGAATAACCATGACGACTGAGATTAATCATTACTTGACTTTTTTACAAAAGTTATTGTACCTCAAACAGCATCTCATGAAACATCATATTTCTCATAATGCTTAATTTTATGAAACAGAGTAAAAGGGTTTTTTGTGTAGAATATTGCAATGTATTTGTTAAATGTGGACACTCATGTGTGATTAATTGTAACGCTTAATTTTGTTTTTTTCCTTTTTTGTGTGTTTTTTTGGTTACTTGTACATATACTGTAAATATTGAACCGTGGCCAGAACCATTTTTGTAAGGGGACAGTTTTTTATTCACGGTGCAATGTGTATAATTTAAAATGACCTTTATTTTCCCAATTTTTGGCCTTTATTAAGGCAAATATTTTGTACTTAGGTAGCTGTGAAGTGCTGATACACTACGTGTATTTAATTTTTTCTTCTTCCTTAATTCCTGTTGCACCAACCCTGTCTAAAAAATAAAAAAAAAGCTGAGATATATTTTCAAAATAAATTGTGAATTTAACCCTTGTACAGAAATGGTCTGGCCCGGTTTTCGTGGCAAAAAGTACACAATAATAATTACGGAAAAGATTAACACTTTTATGAGTTTGTTCCTCTGAATTGTGTACCATGTCAGAAATGAACGCCTTCGTCTCAAAAAAGTGTGTATTTATAAGTGAAAAATACTTCTGACAATGATGTCTTTTTAAAACAAAATGTTATTTGACAACCGAGAAAGAGCTACAAGTTATATTGCATTATTTCTGATATTAAGGAAACAATCTGGTGTGGAATGTGTGAATGTGAGTAAAACTTTGAAAATTGTGAGTATAAGACTGAGAGTTAAAAAATTCTGAATTTCGTATTATTGTGTAAAAAAAAAAGAGAATTTAAGAACGAGGCATTCATTTCTGGTATGGTTCCTTTGCAAAATTATTGTTGTATATAGTTTTTATGGAGCCTGTTAATTGATGGAGAAACCATTCTGAGCATTGATAATGTGGAAAACAATTAATAAAAGAAGGCAGATTGTAGCCACAAAATGGACACTAGCTTTGACTAATTTCGTTTGTTATGATTGGCTGTTCCGTCAAGTTATAGGAAGCACCCCCACCAAAAATTATAAAATGTTATTGTTTTCCGCGTTGTGCGCATGCAGTTTAATACATATTGATAACTTGAGAATATATTCATGCCTTCGTGTAATATTTTGGTAAAGAAATAGTTCCAACTTCCAACTTAACCATTCCAATTCAAAACCTTTAATGAAGGGACTGGTAGCCAGTCTTAAAAAAGTTACGAGGAAACTTTTTAATGGCAGGATTTGACCACGAGGGGGCGCTTTGTAGGAAAAGTTAATGGCGGCTAAAGTTCATTTATTTGCTGTTTTTAATAAGTAATCTTGAACCTTTCTTCAATCGAAAAGAATCGTTTTTGATATTTGCAATGCAAGGCGACTGGTGGCTCCGCGGCTTTCCTAACAAATGCAAGGATCGCTACGATGCTTTTTCGAACTCGTCGCGCGCCTGGGAGATACCGAAAACGGAGTCGGGAACATCGCCGAAAATCGTCACTTTGACGGTGCAGCCGCTGGCCGACAACTCGGCGGTGAACCAGCACTGCGCGAGTCGGAGTCGTCATCTGAGTATGGCGTCTACGGAGAGTCTGCTGGCGCAACGACGAAGGAAATTATGCTTCAAGAACAAGACCCTTCAAAACAATACAAGTATGATGATTTTGAAAAACTACTTCTAGGATAGGAAGGGAGGGACAACCTTTGTTTTTGAGAGGGCTACGCGGCGTAGATTTTTGGGCTACAGTGGGGGGGGGGGGGGGGGTCATATGCGGGGCTATTGCCCCCACATTTTCCCAGTTGGGGTTGTGTGGGCTGGTCAGTGTTTTACTATTTTAATGTTTTGAAGCCAAATAGGCTAGGGAAGGACCAAGCATAGGTCAAAACTAAGGAGTTTGGCCTACATTTTTTTTCCGTGGGGGGGGGGGGGGGGCATTTGTTAGGCGCATAGGTCTAGCCTAGCCCTAGGTTCTAATTTTTGAACAATTCAAAGCTTGGTTCAAGACCGAAAA